TCGGCTCGTCAAAATCGATGCGTGCACTGTTCATAAAGCGAGCCAGGAAGCCATAAACTCCATTCAAGAAAAATGCTTCTGTAACCACCTGGTCGCCCAACAAGGCTTTGGCCTCGCGCAGAGTATCCACAGACACAATATTGTTGGCGTTGACCTCCTCCACCAAACGAGCCAGCAAGCGCTTCCTGGCGGTGAACAGCTCGGCAGGGAGTGGCTTGCTTGCATCGCGAAGGGCAGCAAACTGCTCATCGCTGTATCCCAACACCCGTGCGACAGGCTCATTGACATCCCATTCGTACGGAGCGTTCAAAGTCGCAGCCGTGCGAAGCACGATCAGTTGATACTCGCTCGCTCGCAAAGCATTGTTCGGGCTCCAGCAAGAGGCCAACAGCTTCATGAAAAGGGGCATCTGAACCGGAGCGTTTGCGAGCAGCTGTGAAAGTGTCAAATGTCTGATCGCTGGCCCGACATGGACGTTGGGCTCGTACCTTGAAGATGTTCCGTTGGAATGGCAACGTGTTCAGGGCCGCCGCGACCTCTGGCGAGGCCTTGTCGGCTTCGACGTATGGGAGCAGATGCTCATTGGTGATCTTGCGTTCGTTCCAGCTGGCCATGGTGTGCAATGTTTCTTGTTCGTGTTGCCTCAGGTTCGATGAGGGTGTTGCTGCTGAGCTGATCGTAAAATTGTCCGCGCTGCTGGCTCGACATTTCTACTACGGCTTCTTGCGCCATCACTCGATAGTGTGATGCGTTGTTCGTGTCTTCGGTTTGCAATTCCCATAGTCCGTCCGATACAATGCTAGCACGGCTAGCGGATGTCGACACGCACGCAATTTTTCGTCACCTCGATCTCGACAATGTGACACTAACAGTAAGTTGCATCTTCGAGCGTTTCGAGAGTCGAGACTGAAGTGTACGAACCGAAGTAGCCTTGTGAACTCCTGTGGGTCTCCATTGGAAAGACCATCAGCGTGTTAGGCTCTCGCTACTGCAGGTCATTTGCATGGGTCCTCGTGGCACATCTGCCGATCAAGTTTTAGTGAAGACACTTGTCGTCACAGTGATCGACAGACTACACACAGTCAACGCGGATCGAGCCTACCCTGTTCTCAGCCTCTTCGCACGTGCTTTACCCTTGTGTGGATGCAACTTCCACTACTACTTCTGGTATCGTTTTGAGGCAGGTGGGTCGAATCGGGCCTGTCGCGAAGCCCGATCAGGAGGCTGCCCGCAGGCAACTTCCTCCAGTCTGAGAAGGGTATGGGATCGACCGTCCACTGTCCGGTTTATCCTAGCCGGAGTTTAGGCTAGCGCGATGCGACCTAGAGTAAGATATCCTAGTAGAGGCGTAGTAGTTCTAGGAATAAGAATTCTATTATTTTGTTTACTAGAGCTACGCTTAAATTAAAGACATTATACTACTAACTAGAATTAGTAGATATATAGAATAATCCTAGTAGCCTAATTTCCTAAACAATTAATAAATTTCTATTACTACTACTATACTACTATTCTCTTTACTAGTATCTTAGTTAAAAAGTAATATACTTCTTATTCTACTATTTATAACAAACGAGAAACTAGAATAGTAATCTTATACGCAGTCTATTCTATAACTCGCTAGATCTTTCTTCTACCAAAAGTAGAGTTTGTATTACTAGCCTCCTGTTTAGGCGATTTGGACTCGTATAGGTTACGTGCATTATCCGTATCCACCTGGGCTTCAGCTTTAGCAGGCACGTCTGCGTCGCAGCAGTCGCAACAACACTTCATCTACCGGCGGCGACATCGGATTGAACAGCCTGGGTTATCGCTAGGTGGGCTCTGTTCTTCTCTTGTGGATCCTTAGACCTAAGGCCTCGCGAAGATCTCCACCTCTTGCAAGTATCGCCTATATTGCCCGGTAGCTAGCAGAATAGCGAGAAGAAAAGCAGGCGCAAGCTCTTTGCTAAGCTCGGGCCTTTGACCCTGCTTGCGGTCCGGGCTCAAATGCTTCGAACACATGGTCATTAGCTTAGCACTGTGTGCCTGCAGCTGCGACTTCGTAACAAGCTTGATGCTCCAATGTCGCCACCTTCTATGCCATGGGGACATGGGGTCATGGGACCATTTTGATTGTACGATCCACTACAGTCTGCTAAGCCAACATCCACGTGTAGCCATAGAAGGGTCTCGAGAATTCGTGAAAACCCCGATCCGGCGACGACTACACTATCGAACACATCGTGCCAGTAGCAGGCCATTGATACCTTTCGGCCCTTTCATTAACACGCTATTGTCTTGGATACTCAACGTACACTGGTCTGAGACATGCAGTTTCAATTGCTCCCAGAACCTCATTCAGGGCCATCATGGTATCATGCGGAAAGTCGTCGGCAAGACAGCATGGCTATTGCAAGGTTCGCATTCGTGCAATGATGGCAGAAATCCTGATCGCAATGATGAGTTTATCCACAGCTATTACGCCTTGCTCTGACTCCGAGACACCTGTGATGCACTACACAAACCAATGGAGATGCGGAGGATGAGCACATGTCTTGAAATCGTGGAGATTGTCAAGGATGTGGGTCATGGTGTGCATAACTTGAGATGCGTGATCAATTTACTCACTGTTGAGGATATTGAACAAGCAAGTCAAGTGATCATCATCCATCAACCACTTTCGAACGATCGGTCGATTTGCTGTTCAATTGCAACCATCTACAGACGCATATACATAATTACAACCAAATCCTCTCGGCTTGTACATCATCTGTGCACACGCGCTTTTCGCCTGAAGAGAACATGTGTAGACTTCTTGATGCGGAAAACAAAGGAGGCACCTGGATCGCCTAGACTGATTATGTATGCCGACTCTACACTGCGGTGGAGTGACTCAGCACCAGTGGCTCGATTGGTTGACTGAAATTGTCCTTGTTTGGAACCACTAGCCTTGGCAATCAGCTCAAAAGCTTTGATTGCTTTGGAGCGGTCGATCGAGATCACTGTAGCGAGTAAGAGCGTGTAAAATTTGGGTTTGTGTGATCAATGTACTTTCAGATGCTATGGGAGTCATTAGAACATCCACTCAAACATACACCACCGTCTTGATGGCCCACCTGGCGTTGCGAGACGAAACGATCTGCAACGCTCCAAAAGTTTCTCTATCACTCCGGTCAATCTCTCCTCGGCTGCCTCAGGCTCCCGAGGAGATGTTGAGCTGTCCTTTCTCGTGAGAACGCTCCAACGATGCTATTCCTGAACTGCCGCTCTGCACCATTTCACGCCTTCTCCATCAGACCCTTTGCCTTGCCAAACCTTGCGACAACACAGACAGCCGTCGCTGCTGTCACTGAACATGCGCAGAAAAGCTGAAGACCGAGCCAGCCACCTGATTTCAGTATAGCGCCTGCCACTGGATTGCCCACCAGAATGCCGAAGGCCGCGAAGGAGAAACTCATGCCCATCCGAGTTCCAACCACTGACAAGCTTGGAGAGAGGCTCACCACTGTGGTGGGTGGGAGAGACACGAACGTGCCCGAGAACAGACCATAGAAGATGCAGAACACAAAAAGCCCTGCTTTGCCATCCACTGCAATCCAGCAGAACCCTAGGACAGCTGCAAGTGCTGACGTCGGGATGAGCATGTTCAATGGACCGGTCTTGTCGGCAAAGAAGTTCGGGATGATACGTCCAAACACAGATGCCGCGTTGAGCACAGGAAGCATGTAGAATGCCAGAGTTGCTCCTGTGATCCCCTTGTCCGCTGAGAAGGTCTGGATATAGAAGAATGGGATGTACATGCCTACACTAGAGTCAGCATATGCAACATTGAAGGACGTGTCGCATTCTCTGTGACGCCTTTGACTTACCCATGAAGCCAAAGAATTCTGCGATGCTGAATGCGGTGAATGGCAGCTCGCGGAAGGCTTGCAGATCAACCAAACGACGCTTTTGAGGAGGCAGGACACGGACGCGCATCACGGCGACGCATACCAAGGTTGTCGCCAACATGATCGAGGCAATGACAATGTTGGTGTTGCGAAAACCGATCCGCGGTTGCAACCTGGCGAACACGATTGGGTAGATGATGCCACCGATGCTGCTCCCACTGGCTGCGATACCTGTGGCGAACGATTTCTTCGTTGTAAAGTAAGTTGAAACGATGGCGACGCTCGGAATGAATAAGCATCCACAACCAAGTCCAACGGTGATTCCTTGTGCCAGCATGAACTGCCAGTATTGTGTGCACAGACTTGTCATGTACTGCCCGAGGATGATGAGGAACCCTCCTCCGCAAAGCAGGTGGAAAAAGAATCCAGCATCAAAGAGGGGCCCAGTTCCAACACCGATGATAAGCAACAGAAAGGCTTGGATGGATCCGATCCAAGAGATATCCGATTCCGACACGTTGCTCAGGATATCAGTGGTGTAGTATGTCTGAAAGACGCCGAAGCTGTTGACAAGTCCCCTGTAGTCATCATTGGTACCTCGTCTCATTCAAGTGCTACTATAACACGCACCAAGTGTTGAAAAACAAGATGAAGGAGCCCAGGACTTGTAGCCATGCTTTCAGTCCTCCATTTGGAGGCGCAGAGGATGCTGCAGGTTGGGCTGGCGGAATGGGTACCGTTTGTGCCTCCAAAGAGGAACTGCTCGAAGCAGAGTTGGACTTTTCCGCAAGCTGCTGTGCCATGTTCAACAAGTTACGTCTCAGGATAGACGAATGTCAAAGACTGTGAGGTGTGAACAAGCAAGGAGACGTCGAGCGAAGGACTGGTGTGCCGTTGGATCGACACAAAAGCCTCAAAGAGCCTCTGCACTGCCTGCACGGAACAGCTCATTGCTTAGAAATCCAGGGCGCTAAAGGGAACATACTAGAGCGTATAGCACAACAGATTGAAGGCCGTGCTGCCAACTTCTCCTGCAGGGCCAACGAGGCCACCGGAGGCGATACGCGAGCCGCGGAAAAGGCGTTCCGATGGGCCTCAGATCTGCGACAAGCCTCCAGCCCCGGCTTTTATCCTTAGTGCTATGGGTCATATTGCCACGATTGCGAACAAGAGTTCTAAGACTTACACTAGCGTGGTGGATTTCTACAAGGGACGGGTGGGACGGGTGAATCGTCGGATGATGTTCGGATCGTCCCGCCCGCCCACTCTATTCTTGCTGCATGCAACGACACCTCGTGCATTGCACTCGCCATTCGTGGCAGCCTGCGTCGGACATGTCATGAGACTTGACATCTGTCATTGTCTCGCATCTAGTGAGTGGATGGTCATGCAGTACAGCCTCAAAAGCACCCCTGGGTCCATCGCTATCGGCAACCGACGGGATGTGACTTTCGCTTTGGGCATCCGAGCATAACGCCTTCGAGGTCGGATATTGCGAGCAGATAATGGCGTTAGCCTGTGTCTCGTTTCCCATGCGTGCTACTCCAGCTAAATAGGACCTAGTTCTGCTACTATCTGCAGTTATTATAGGGTATATCTACTAAAACGAAAAGTGCTATACTAATTTCTATTAGAAATTAATTCGTTTAAATTTATTAGTAGCCTAGTAATATAATAAAGTATAGATAGTAGTAGATTCTAAAAGCTAAGTATTATATCGAACAAAATCTAACTATACTATTAACTAATTAATAGTTTAATATCTAGCTTTATAGGAAGTTCAAATTAGATTTCTAGATTATTAGTACTCTATTATAGCTTATTTTTAATAGCTACGATAAAGTACTAGTATTTAGAATATTTCTACTATAGTATAGTATATCCGAGATATTTCTAAAGAAAGCGAATTTATAATAAGTAAGTAAACTCTTTATTATAACTAGAAGGCGTAATAGTAAGAAGAGTACGAGTAGATAGAGAGATACGTAGTCGTACGAGGTATCTAAGAGAGGCGTAGAGGCGCGAGAGACTAAATATAAAGAACGAGCGCTAAGGCGCTAAGGAAGTAAATAGGTACCTTAGGCATTAGGTAAACGAGGCACGTTTCGTAACACCCTTAACCTACTTATAGTAACTTACTAGTAGAACTGAATTCGACACGTATATAGCTTACTATCACGGGTTAATAATCCAGAATGTTTACACCGCGACCTAGGGGCGTGAATCGAATCGCTTAGGGGCGTACCTGCTACGTCGATTCCCCATCGATGCAGAGTCAACACCAGACTGGGAGACACCACCGCTTCGTTCGCCCTTCGGGCTCACAGCTGCTCACTCGTTACCTAAAAGAAATATGCCATCTTTTTGCGGCCTATGGATTGCGCGCTCGGATCACGAACATCGTCGTTCCGCTCGCGAACTCGCATTACCCAGTACTCACCTCGCTCGTCAGCTCGCCTCGCTTGTCCGACACTGTTCAGATTGCTCGAATTGTGTGGGGCTGTCACGTCCCCCAAGACCCCGAGTAACGCTCCGAAGGCACCAGGATATGCTCACGAAACAGCGGCGTTGGGGCAGTTGTGCACCAGCTTGGATTGCAAGACCATGCGAATACTCGGAGACTACGCATGCAGGGCGACATTGAGCAATGAGCTCAACAAACAGTGGGTTGACAACATTGATTGTCGTTGTCGGCACTAGTCGCCCAAGCCGAGCAGGAAACGAATGCCAACATGAAAAGCTGATAAATCGACCGCTGGAATGCCATTTCCCCTCAGATTTGCAGCTCTGAAGATCATTCCTCCACACTCTTTCTTACAAATCCACATCGGCATCAATGAAGGACGTACGGGTCGAAGAGCTCTCCACGGGCCCGCTTTTCAGTGTGCGGGAAGCACTGATCGAACGCGTTCGTGAGGCACAGATTTTCTGGACAGAAGCGTTTCGGGATGTACATTCGCGGACACTCTTCACCACCTCGCCCAAGCACAACATATCCAACCAAGATTGCACCTTCACTTTGAAATTAGACGACAAGCAGTTGCAGGATCAACTGCATAGGGTGGAGAAGGAATGTGGCATTGAGCGTAAGATCCTCTTCGAGGCACTCTGGGCTATTGTTGTTCAAAGCCATACCACATCGGAAGAGGCGGTGTTCGGTGCCGCCAACCAAGCTTGCAGCCTACTCGGAGAGTTAAGAAGCACAGACATCTATCCGTTGCGGATCACCACCAGCCCGGACACCAAGTTCGTGGATCTCGTCTCCGCAATCGAGGATTTCCATCGGAGATGTTTTCGACATGGCTATTTCGGCTTGGCAGAGATAAGTCATCTTTTGCCAGAGGCTTTGCAGAGCGCGGTCTACTACTCCCTGACACCGCTCGGTAAGCTGGACGATTTACCACCTGTCCCACTGGTGTTGGTCATCTCATCCACTTCGACGCTGCAGCTCTCGTTGCATGCACGGTCAACAGTGGAGCCCCGTGAGGCTGAGATATTACTATCACACTTTGTCGTGGCGCTTCAAAGTGCGCTCTCGAAGCCCTATCTCCCTCACGCAACAATTTCGAGCATCAATCTCGCTTCTCTTGAAGAGCAATTCACGACTGTTCGTGCCAATCGCAGCAATAACCCCGAGCATGCTTCCACAATTGTGCATCTGTTCGAGGAGACCGCAAGAAAACATCCAACCAGAATCGCCATTGAGAATGAACGACACGATAAACTTTCGTATGACGAACTCAACATCATGTCGAACAGGCTATCTCGGAGACTGCCAATCGACAAAGGTGACATCGTGCCTGTCTGCATGGATCGCTCCACCGACTTGATCGTCACTCTGCTAGCCATCTTGAAGGCTGGATCCGCATACACCGTGCTCGATCCTGACGGTCCGTCCGAGCGAAATGCACAGATTGTCGCCGCTTCTGATGCCAAGGTCGTCATTGCAAACGACAAATATGCCGAGCTCTTCGCAAATGCAATTGAGGTGGACATTCTGTTGACCGCGTGCCGCCAATCGCAAAGTATGCACGATGGCTACAATCGGCAAGTGACAATCAGCGCTGACGACAAGTCGTACATCATATACACCAGCGGCTCAACGGGTAAGCCTAAAGGCGTTGTGCTTACCCACCGTGCAGCAACAAACGGCATGCATTACCACAACCTCAATGGCAGGAACCGCTGGTTGCTCTTCTATAATCCCACATTCTCTGCGGCGCAACGTACCATGCTCTCGACGCTGGTCCATGGCGGCACCCTCATCGTTGCACAGAAGAGCGCCATACAGAGTAATCTAGCTGGACTGATCCAATCCATGCGAGTGCAAAGTTTGGGTATTACCCCTTCGGCGCTCTCTACCATCCGGCCATCCGATGTTCCGACACTCGAGCAGGTCACTCTAGTTGGAGGTATGTCTTTTTGATTCAGATTCCGCACATCTCGTCATGCGCTGACCTGTGGTGTTCCAAAAGAGAATATCTCACCAGCTTTGGTCACGGAATGGGCAGATCATGTCGACCTGCGAAACACTTATGGTTTGAGCGAAGTGACCCAGCTCAACTTCGGCACTCGTCTTACGTCAAAGTCGAACCCGAGGGTCGTCGGGCGACCATCAGACACCACAAGCGTATATGTACTAGTGCCAGGCACGACGGAGCTTGCACCAACAGGCGTCGCGGGCGAACTTGGCCTGGCTGGTCCACAGCTGGGCTTGGGTTATTTGGCAGATCCTGAACGCACTGACAAAGTGTTCATCGACAACCCTTTCGGCAGAGGCAAACTTTATCGTACCGGTGATCTTGCTAGGATGCGTCATGACGGCTCCATTGAGATCCTGGGTCGTATCGATTTCCAAGCCAAAATTGCTGGTCAAAAGGTCGAACCTGCCGAAATTGATGCGGCATTGATCAAACACGAGGACATTCGAAGCTCTATCACTGTGGCTGCCGATGTTGCGCAGCGGAGAGCCTTGGTGACGGGCGTTGTCGTACAAGCCGCTGACTGGACGTCTACGCTACAGAGCATTCGACGTCATGCAGAACTTCTGCTCCCAGGTTATATGATACCATCTTATTGGTTGCGCTTGGAGGAGGTCCCCAAGAACATCAACGGCAAGGCAGATCTGCTCCGTTTCCGAAACATGGTCGAAGGTATGACTGTCGAGGAATTGTTGGAACAGTCGCTTGCAACTACCGGAGGCAGCACTGCCGTGCAAGACCCCATGGAGCAGTCGATCGCAAGCATCTGGGCCAAGGTGTTGAACTTGGATCCATCACTGATCAAAAGAGAGCATAGCTTCGTTGCCCTCGGGGGTAGCTCGGTCCAGGCTATCAGAGCTCTCCAAGAGTTGCGCAAGGCAGGGCTGCAGACTACTCTGAACGACATCTTGTCTGAGATGTCCATCGCTCAAGCGTCATCAACGTACACGAAGCTTGTGGGTAACGAGGAGCAAGACCTCTTACCATTCGAATTGATCAAGAGCGAGGATCTCAAGCAGAGCCTATCTGTGGATCCAAACGTGATCGATGCGTACCCAGCAACCGCGCTGCAGCAAGAGTTACTCTCATCTCTTGGCACCGAGCACGACCACTACATCTACCGTCGGATATGGGATGCGTCAGGCCTCGATCTGGAGAAACTCAAACGCAGTTTCGAGACCGCCTTCGAGCAAAGCGACATACTCAAGACCAGCTTCATCGTGAACGGCCGAGATATCTTCCAAGTCGTCAGATCAGATGCAAAACTGCCATGGACCGAGACTGATCTAGACCTCGAGACTTTCATCGCCCAAGATGAATCTATTCCGATGTCCATGGAAGGTCCACTCTTTCGCATCACACTGATCTCGAGGCAGCTCTTGGTAGTGTCAATGCACCATTCATTTTTTGACTTCTGGTCGTACAGATTCTTGTACGAAGACGTCGCCAGGATCTATCAGGGACTCGATGTGCCTCCGCGAGCTCCATTTAAGCGGTACATCAGCCATATCTCTGGTTCGGATGAAAGAGCCTCTCGCAGATTCTGGAAGAAACAGCTCACTGGCGCAGAGCAAACGATGCTCAACCATCACCCAAGTACGCAGACCTCAAAGCTGTCGCGCAAAGTCGCATTGGGAAAGATACACGATCAAGGAAAGACTCTTGGCCTCACCACCGGGGCAATCCTGTACACTGCATGGGCCATTCTGCTGTACAAACATACTGGCCACGCGGATGTGACATTCATGACATCCCTTTCTGGTCGAGATGCCCCTGTTTCCAACATCGACCGCATAGACGGCCCAACACTCTCCATGGCACCATTGAGAACAACGATTGATCCTGAGCAGAAAGCTGCAGACATGGCAAAATCCATCGGTGCCGCCGTCAGGCAAGTTGCCGAACATTCTCATTACGGCCTCCGAAATGCACTGTCTGCTGCGGGCCTACAACAGGGTCTCTTTGATACCTTTCTCAACATCCTCATCAGTCCACAGCAGGATCCCAGCGTAGAAGCTGTCTTCAAGCGCTATGGGCCAGAGTGGTCGTGGGACAATGCCTTTACGACCATGGAGGTGGAGGAAACTCCAGAGCAGCTGGTATTCCGACTATCCGGGCGTATGGATGGTCGTCTCCTGAGTTACGTCCTTGACTCGTACATCCTCATTATCGAGGAGATCGTTGCAGACCCGCATCAAAAGCTGAGTGGCATGGATGTCATAGCACCGGCAGAACGAGAGTATTTGCAAAACACCTTGAGCAATCGGAAAACACTCAAGACGCCTGCTCCGGAGCTGTTGCACGCTCGCTTCGAAGCTCACGCCACGAAAACTCCTGATGCAGTTGCTATCGACTGGAATGGCGCAGACCAGGTCACTTACTCCGAGTTGGACGATCGAGCAAATCAGCTTGCGCACCATCTCATAGAACAAGGCTGTCGTGTTGGCGATCGAATTCCACTGCTTCTGGAAAAGTCCATCGACACTATCGTGGCAATCCTGGGAGTCATGAAAGCTGGCGCCGCGTATGTTCCGTTGAATCCAGAGAACCCAGTGGAGCGCAATTTGTTCATCATGAACGATGTTGAGGCTAAAACCTTGATTATGCATTCCGTGCATGCTGACTTTTGCTCGCATCATGACCTGCCTACGATCATGATTGACCAATTGGACCTCCGAGCATCTCACACATCAGGGCCGGTGGTATCAACGACGCCTGGGGACCTCGCTTACATCATCTATACTTCTGGTTCATCGGGCACTCCGAAAGGTGTCAAGGTTCCGCATCGTTCAGCTGCAGCGGCAGTGACCAGCATGGAAGTCGCCGAGGGTCGCGGAGCAGGAGCATGGCGCACTCTCCAATTCGCGAACTATGTCTTCGACGCCTCTGTGCAAGACATATTCAACACGCTCTCTACGTGTGGCACACTTTGCATGGCTCCCCAGGACGAGATGCTCTCCAATCTTGCTGGCAAGATCCAGTCAATGCGAGTGAAGCAAGCCATAATCACGCCAACTGTGGCAAAACTGCTCAAGCCAAGCGAAGTTCCTACAATGACGACGCTCATCGTTGGCGGCGAGCCTTTGACGAGTGATGTAGTTTCTGTTTGGGGACCCGATCACCAGATCCTGAACGTGTACGGACCGACCGAGACCAGCATGGTCGTCACGACGAAAGACGTGCAGCAAGGGGATCTGATCTCCAACATCGGTGCACCATTCCCAACAGTGATGGCCTTCATTGTTGACCCGGACGGGCTCTCCTTGATACCATACGGAGCTGTCGGTGAGCTTTGCATCGCTGGGCCTCAAGTCACAGATGGGTACGTCAACAGGCCTGATCTGACCAGTGCCGCATTTGTGGACGGCGAAGAGTTGGGTGTCGACAAGCTGTACCGTACCGGTGACCTCGCACGTTGGCTTCCCAATGGTGAGATCTCGTGTCTAGGTCGGAAAGACGGCCAAGTCAAGATCCACGGCCACCGCATCGAACTCGGCGAGATTGAAGTGGCACTTTTGAAGACGGGACTCGTCGAAGAAAGCGCAGTCGTAGTCTCAACTGTCAATGGAAAGCCCACTCTTGTGGCATTCTGCGTTTTCGATACTGCGGAATCCTCAGCCATTCGGGACGCTGAAGAGCACGCCGAGGACATCAAACTCCTCCGCGAAGGTCTAACACATTCCGGATTGACGCCATACATGATACCAGGTGTTGTGCTGCCTGTTGGTAGTTTGCCAAAGCTTCCAAGTCGCAAAGTCGATCGAAAGACCCTCAAGAAGCAAGTTGAGCAGTTGGACGCGGCATTCATGCGCCAGTATAGCCTCTGCAAAGGACCTTCACACGCTCACGAGGCACCAGAGACTGAAAACGAAGTTGTCCTTGAAAAGGCTTGGAGCGCGGTGCTCAATATTCCCTTGTCTGACATTGGACGCAAAGCTGATTTCAGAGCACTTGGAGGCGACTCGATCGCTGCGATCTCGCTGTCGAGCCATGTCAGCCGTGAGAAGTTCACTCTGAGTGTCAACAACATCCTCAAGCATTCCCGACTCGACGAAATGGCAGCGAAGATGCAAGCGAAGAGTGCCAATGGGAGCTCGCAGGCTAAACCGGCGTTTGTCGTTCCTACAGAGGCCTGGGCTGCCGCAGAGGCAGCTGGTCTCAATTGGGAGTCTGATGTGGAATATGGTATGTGGTTTGCCCTAATGTGATCGCTTCCGCTCAGGCTTACATTGCTGACCCTCGCAACAGTCTACCCGTGCCCGCCAGGCCAAGCTGAATTCGCCTCACAAGGATCGCGTGATGAGCAGATGTGGGTGCTGATGACTGTACGCCGCATGCCTGCTGGAACGGACTTGGACAAATGGATCTCAGCCACAACAGAGCTTATCCGCATCGAAGATATATTGCGAACTTCGTGGCTCTGTCTTGCCAGTGGGGACTGGGTCGGTGTCGTTCTGCGATCAAACAAGCCGCGCCTGGAAGTCATCGACTGTGCGTCGGAATCTGCGTCGACTGAGATTATCGAGAAGTTTTGGGCCGAAAAATTTGTGTTTGGTGAACCCTGGATCAAGTTCGCCTTGCTCAAGTATCCCGACGGCTCATTCGACACTGTGGTGAAGCTCAATCACGCCGTGTATGATGGTACGCTTCTTCGTATCTTCGATGACCACTTTGGGGCCATTCTTGCCGGTCAACCCATCCCGCCGCATGGCCAATTCAAGGACTTCGCCTTCCACATCTACAACTCCGACAAGGCGCAAACACTAGATTTCTGGAAGCAGACCATGGCTGACCGCCGGTCGGCATACCTGTCCGAGGCCATTTCACCTAAAATCACGGCAGCCAAGCGCAGTCTCATCGACACCCAGCTTGATGACCTCGTATCCAGTACAGGAGTCAGCCAGTCTTCGATTTTCCAGGCCGCGTATCAGCTCTGGCTCAGCCGTGCCAGCGGAGATTCCGATGTAAACTTTGACTACTTGCTCTCAGGCAGGAATATCGACCTTCCAGATCCTCTCACGATAAATGGCACGCTCGCAAACTTCCTTCCCGTCAGGCACAAGATCGATCAAGACAGCTGCACCCTCCAAGACTTCCTCCAAGCCACTCAAGACGGCTTCTGGGCCATGAGTGAGAACGGCAACGTGGGGTTGCATGATATTTACGCCGCTGCTGGATTGGATCGCCAGGCCTTTGGCAACCGCACTTTGTTCCTCTTCCAGCCCTTCGAACCTGCGGGCGCGCCAGACGAGATGAGATGGTTGATCCTGGCCAAGAGCCGGGTGCGAATGTATCAGCCGTATGCTCTGGTGGTAGAAGTTGCGAAGGCTCCAGAGGGAAGGCATAAGTTGGCAGTGATGTACGATGAAACGGTGTTCGACGTAGAGAGGGTGGAGAGCATTGTCGTGGAGATCAAACGACTTGTAGAGAATTTCGCGAAACCTGGGATGGAAGGTGCGCTGCTGAAAGAGTTTTAGTGTTTCATATGTTTTATAGATAGATACCTTACCGCAACGCGATGCATTTCATCTGGGACATATTGAACCTCCCTGTTTTTGACCCATCTATACCTTCGAAGTCCTTTTCTTGCCTGGCCTCAACCACATGCCTTCAGCCATCGCGTGCACCACGCCACCTTCACTCTCAATGACTCCCTTCGCCCATGCCTTTCTCCCATTGTCTTCCACCTTGGTCACCCAACTCCTCACCATGACTGTTCCAGGTGTCTTCACAGCCGCCTTGAACGTGACATTCAACTGCACAGTGAAGCTCGGTGGACCGTCTTCCAACTTTGCGAACGTCATGCCAATGGCTCCACCCAATGAACTGTCCAGAATACAGGAAATTACGCCTCCATGTAGGAGATCAGGATGAGCATTCAAGTCGCCACCAAAGGTATAGAAGCGGCGCATCTCGCCTCTTTCGGATTCGGACGAGGAAACGAGGCTTTCGCTACTGCTTTTGCTGCTGTAATCCTTGGGAGGTCGGAACAACGTGAGTAACTGGCCGATCGTGGCCTCAGTATTCCAGGTCTTGCCCATGAGCGTGTGACCCTTTCCATCATGAGTTACTGTGCGCGATTGTGACAGGATGCGAAAGGTGGGGTCTTCGATTGTGGGTTTGGCGTAGGGCATGGAGAGGAAGTGGACCACCGTGGAATTCGGGACATCTTTCGGGATGCGTCTCCTCAAATCCGTGCTCAGAACGGTTTCAGCGGCCATGGCGGAACTTGATGGCCGGCTTCGATAAGGAGCGTGATTCTTGATGCCATTGTGTTGATGGCAGTCATTTGGTGGAAGATGTGTGTGGAAAGAAGAGCCGAGGCTGAACGTTGTCAAGAAGGCTTCGTCAAGGCTCAATGCCAAGCCACAGTCTCCGTCATCTCCTTTGCATCGTGCACTCCTTCACCTGCACCTGATGGAGACATTCTCATCGGCGGAATGCGTCCGTCGCATTACTCGGCCCCCTCCAGCGTCGGACAGGATGCTTGACGCGTGCAGTGAGGCCACGGGCGCGTAGTTACTGTATCTCCGCCGCGCAGGATCAGGAAGCAATACGAACAAAGGCTAGCGTATCGAGCGCAATGCCGTGCTACATACCACATCTACAGGCTTTGTCAGTATACGGAGATCCTTCAATCTGCTGATGAGACAGGTTACGTCCGGCGACATGATGTATAAAGGTGCAATTGTGCTGCTCGACAAAGATGTCACAACACCCAGCTTACCGCATCTTCACACAATCGAGTCACAAGCACTATTTTCACTACAGTAACCATGAAGGTTTTCATCACAGGTGCGTCGGGCTTCATCGGCCGCGCCGTTGTCTCCGACCTCGTGAAACATGGCCATGAAGTCGTAGGCCTCGCTCGCAGTGGTGCCTCGTCCGAGAAAGTCAAGCAGATTGGCGGTACCGTTCTCGAAGGGAATCTGGAAGACGTGGAGTCACTACGCAAAGGTGCAAGAACATGTGATGCGATCATCCACTTGGCCTTCGTCCACGACTTCTCTTCGCCAGAAGCCTATCAGAACGCGACTTTGGTCGACCGCACTGCCATATCTGCCATGGGCGACGAAATAGCTGGCACTGGCAAGGCTCTAATCATAGCGTCTGGTACACTCGGGTTCCCACAAGGTCAACTTGCCACCGAAGATACTGAGCCGGTGCGAAATGGGCCAATGTCCGATCGCACAAAATCAGCCGACTTGGTCCTCCAGCTTTCCAAGGAGAAGAACATCTGTGGAATTGTCATCAGGTTCTCGCCCACCGTCCACGGCAAAGATGACTGGGGCTTCATCACGATGCTAGGAGAAGCTGCCAAGCGCGACGGCTTCGCTACATACATCGACCAAGGCACTTCACGATGGTCCGCTGTCCACCGCTATGATGCTGCTACTCTTATGAGACTTGCGTTGGAGAAGGGAAAGGCCGGAGCAGTCTACAATGCTGCTGCAGAAGAGGCAATCCCCATGAAAGACATCATGACCGCAGTCGGCGCTAAGTTGAATCTGCCGGTAAAGAGCAAGACGACCGAGGAAGCTCAGCCTTCGCTGGGACTTTTCGCCCACATCATCAACTTCGACAATCCGACTTCAGCCGAGAAGACGCGTAAGGAGCTGGGTTGGAAGCCCGAACACCCGGGACTGCTTGAAGATATCAGGGAGAATTATTTCACTGCATAGGTGTTCTCTGGGTTGGATACGGGGAGCGAAACTTGGTCATCTTCACTCTCGTTAGGTAGATATCGCTTCCAGAGTAACGTGTCCTCGTAAAGTCTTCGAATCTCTTTACTTCGTGCTAAAGCTTCAACCTAGCTATTTTCGCTACGATAGAGCTGCAACTCTTCATCGACACGGCGTAGTATCAAAAGGGAAGGCATACTGTCGCTCTTCGACCTTCGGGCCGACTTCTGGGACGTGCCAAGCTCGTTAAGCATTGGAGATTGGTGCAAGCGAAGCATTTGTGGGGAGAGCTTGTCCTCCACCTTCGTCTCCGCATCATCAGACGGACAAGACGGAGCGCAGAAGCAGAGCAGAAGACGCTGATCACTGCCACCATGACGCCAGTGATACTGCTCTCGGGGCCATTTACGGTGCAAACACCCAATCGCGCTTGCCCTCGGCCATCGAACAACCGGCGACTCGAGATCGCTTCGCTGTCGCTAGACCTGTTCCTGAGCAAACAGCTCGACGACACGCGCTCGCTCTTGCTGAACGTTGCACCAACGCGGGGAGTGCACGCGGCATGACTGCACTCTCCTCCGCCGACGGCAGAAGCAACGCCCGATCACGGCAAGACATCGCGTCTGCATATATTCATCCATCGTCACCATGCTGCTGCCTCCGCTGCTGAACCAGAACTTTAGTCTCGCTGTCTGCGAATTCACTCACTGGCAGGACATCATGTCTCGTGTTCTGACGTGGACGCAAGCGGCGCTTGCGCTGTCTTCTTTGACTCTAGCACAGGACTCTTCTGCTTCATCACCGCCTATCGATGGCCTGACTACTGCGGTGTTCGCTTCCTCAACTGGCTCGATTGCTAGTGCTACTGTTTCGGGTGCTACGAGTACTTACTCCATTCCGTTTACAGGTGAGTGAAGTTGCTTCTTCACTTCCGAAAAAAGCCACAGCTGATGTTGCCCTCTTGTAGTACCGGCCTCAGCCGATATTGGCCCTAACATCCTCCCAAATATCAAGGATCCCAACGCCAAACAAGCACAGGTTAGACTTAGAAGAGAGGCTGCTCTGGAATGGGACTGATTGACTTGAGGCTTTGTGTCCCGGTTACAAGGCGAGCAATGTGGAACATACGTCCATTGGCTTTACGGCCATGCTCACCTTAGCTGGCGAAGGAGTGAGTGCCTGAGCATGTTTCTCCTCTACTCAACTAATTAACTACAGTGCAACGTGTATGGAACCGACATTGAAACTCTTGCACTAGAACTCGACGTACAGAGCTCGCACAGGCTTCACCTCTCGATCCAGCCCTACTACCTCGACAGCAGCAATGCGTCACAATACATTTGGAGCGAGACGATTGTGCCTGCTCCTCAGAACGAAGCAGGCTCGCAAGAGGTCGATCTTCAGTTCACCTACAGCAATGACCCAACCTTCAGCTTCACTGTAGTCAGGAAGTCCACTGGGGATGTGCTTTTCGACACGACCGGGAGCGTGCTGGTGTTTGAGAATCAGTTCATCGAATTTGTTACTCAAATGCCGGAGAGCTACAACATTTACGGCATGGGCGAACGTATTCACGGACTTCGTCTTGGCAACAATTTCACAGCCACTTTTTATGCTGCGGATGTTGGTGACCCGATTGACGAAAACATCTATGGTGTACACCCATTCTACCTGGACACACGATACTTTGAGGTTGATCAGGAAACTGGCTTACACACTCTTGTCACTTCCAACGATACCACAGCGAATAGCACCTACGTTGGTCACAGCCATGGTGTGTTCTTGCGGAACGCTCATGGCATGGAGGCACTCATGAACCCTACCAACCTGACTTGGCGCGCGATCGGAGGTAGCATTGACCTGTACATCTTTGATGGACCCACTCAGGACGCCGTGACCAAGCAATATCAGACGGGTGCCATCGGATTGCCTGCGATGCAGCAGTATTGGAGCTTTGGGTTCCATCAATGCCGCTGGGGTTACAAGAATTGGACAGAGCTCGAGAACGTGGTCAATACCTATCGAGACTTCGACATCCCTCTCGAGACGATCTGGGTAAGTGCCGTCGTCTTAGAGCCGCTTGTGCCATCGAGACCTGTTGGTTGCCCATGCTTACTTCTCACCTACACAGACCGACATCGACTACATGTTTCAGTACAGAGACTTTACGAACGACCCAAACACATTTCCGTATGCCGAGGGACAAGAATTCTTGAGCCGCCTGCACGCCGCCGGACAGCACTATATTCCAATCGTGGACGCAGCCATTTACATTCCGAACCCGAACAACGCTTCCGATAACTATTCCATATACACAGATGGCAACGATCGAGGTGTCTTCCTCAGCAACCCGGATGGCAGTCAGTATATTGGTTCAGTGTGGCCAGGATACACAGTCTTCCCAGATTGGCACGCCAACGAGTCTGTGGCTTGGTGGACGGACAGCATGCTTGAGCATCACAAGAACTCGCCCTGGGACGGTATCTGGATCGACATGTCAGAGGTCTCTTCGTTCTGTATTGGCTCGTGCGGAACTGGTAACCTGTCATTGAACCCGGTGCACCCGTATGTGGCGGCCGTGCCTGTTATGCCGTAACATTAGCTAACTCCTATTACAGTCCCTTCGGTCTGCCTGGCGAGCCAGGGTCGAAGATCTATTCCTACCCTGAGGGATTCAAATTGACCAACGCAACCGAAGCAGCTGTAGCATCCTCGCTCTCAGCATCCCAGTCAAGCTCTGTCGCTGAAGCTACGCCCGCCGGAAGCTCCACGACCGCGTATTTTACCCCTCCAGCCATCACTCCAGGCGTCAGAAATGTCAATCAGCCACCTTATGCCATCAACAACGTTCAAGGCGACCTCGCCGTGCATGCTGTCAGCCCTAACGCCACCCATGTGGACGGCGTCGAGGAGTATGATGTGCACAGCTTGTTCGGGCATCAGATCCTCAACGCTACCTACCAAGCTCTACTTGAGGTCTTCCCAGGCAAGCGTCCTATGATCATCGGTCGTAGCACCTTTGCTGGAAGCGGCAAGTGGGCAGGCCACTGGGGTGGTGACAACACTTCACTCTGGGCATACATGTACTTTTCGATCAGTCAAGCTCTGAACTTCGCTCTCTTCGGCATTCCAATGTTTGGCGTGGACACGTGCGGTTTTAATGGCAACTCGGACGAAGAGCTATGCAATCGCTGGATGCAACTGAGCGCCTTCTTCCCTTTCTACCGCAACCACAACACTTTGTCTGCGAATCCACAAGAGGCGTACGTCTGGGAGTCTGTTGCAGACGCATCGAGGAAGGCCATGGCAATTCGATACTCGCTTCTGCCATACATGTATACGCTGTTCTACTTGGCTCACACCACCGGCAGCACAGTCATGCGAGCTCTGTCTTGGGAGTTCCCGAACGATCCATCTCTGGCCGCTGTGGACAATCAGTTCCTCCTTGGACCTGCTCTGCTCGTCACACCTGTTCTTGGCCAAGGCATGAAAGAGGTGCAGGGTGTCTTCCCTGGAGTCGCTCAAGGAGAGATCTGGTACGACTGGTACACGCAAGAAGCCGTCACTGCTCAGCCTGGCGAGAACGTGACCATCTCCGCACCTCTGAGCCACATTCCAGTGTTTGTGCGAGGCGGATACGTTCTCCCTCGTCAAGAGGCGCTATACACTACCACAGAGTCTCGCAACAGCTCATGGAGTTTGCTGACTGCTCTCGATAACAACGAAGCAGCTTCTGGAATCCTGTACGTTGACGATGGCGAGAGCGTTACGCCAAACGCTACACTCATTGTCGACTTCACGGCATCAAACGGCTCGTTGTATGCTTCAACCCGCGGTCTCTATGAAGACACAAACAGTCTCGCCAACGTCACTGTGCTGGGTGTGCAGGATGAGCCTGGCAACGTAACGCTGAACGGCCAGGCCGTCAGTTCCGGTGTGACATACAACAGCACGAGCAAAGTGTTAAGTCTCGTGGGCTTGGAAAATCTCACTACGGAAGGAGCATGGAAGAACGATTGGGCTTTGACATGGTCTTGAAAAAAAGTCTCCAATGATTGATGATGTTGATGGGTAACGAATAGTACTGCCAAAAACGTAGCACATATAATGCTCCAACGAATCCTAGTGTATTCTAAGGATGACCCTGTTTGCGCATCCACTCGATCCAGATACCCAAGTCGTTGCTGATCTCCAACGCTTTTGCCAATTTCTTCTTTTTCAACATCTCCGTCTGATTTTGCTCGGGCTGCTGGCCCTCGGAAGAATCTTTGACGGGTTCTGCGACTTGAACATCAATGCCATCGAAATGCTCGACTACAACATCGGCATCTGGCATAATATGGAAGACGACATGGCTCAGGTCGTCGCCAGTGGGATCGGAGATTGCGAGTGAGAAGTTGGGAGTCGAGATGGGGAGTTGAGAGCCACTGGAGAAGCTCATGTCCACGCGAGTTTTGGAGGCTCCTTCGAGGTCTACGTTGCCGAGAAGTTCGTTAAGCTTCCTCTCGTGAGTACCGTTGCTTTGAGTACCATTTCCCGCGTGAGAGCCGTTTACGCCGTTGGCAGTAGCTGCTTGAGCTTCTCCAGGCTGCGAATTGGCCAATGCGGTTCGCAAAAGGTTGCCAGTGCTCGCCCATTGTCGTAGTGTAGGTAACAGCTCGACTAGCTGCCTTGGATGCGAGAATGGAACTTCTTCGAGTACATATGCAAGATCCCCCTTAGGGATGTCGAGAACGTACTCGTGTGAAGCGTTCGTGTCTTCGCCCTCTGGGCCTGGAACCAGTACGTTCTGTTCAGAAACAACCTTGATACTCAAGTCTTGTGATTTGATGCCGAGAACGTTGAGATGGTAGATGGGGAAACTGGTAGAGTGGGAGTACTGGTCGCCCAGCGTCGCTAGAATTGTCGCTGCGATCTGTAATGGTAGCACGACTGGAGGATCTAGCTTGGCGACGAAGCGGAGGTCTGGGAGACGTTCGCCATCGATGGCCATTGCATCGCCCGTGTCTGTTGAGCTTGTGCTGATGAATGTGTTGGGAGGGTCTTGCCATGGTATAGGTTGGTCCTGCCGAGCGGCATCGAATGTTTCCGGCAACCATGCGTCTGATACTCGTAACGATGGATACATGCCGGCAGCATATGGCTGGGCTTCGATACGCAGGCTCCAGATGTCTGATTCGAAGTCATCCTCTGGCTCGTCTTGGGAGGCTCCGCCCATTGTCGTAGTCGACTTCCTTCGACACGGCGATGGTTTCCAGTAAGCCAGGGAAAGCCCAATCTTGCCATTGTCATGCATGAAAGGCTTGCCGCTTTTCTTGCACAGCACTTCGCGTGCAGCTTTCTCATCGGCATCCTCGCTCTTTAGTTGCTTCAACGCCTTGACCGCATCTTTCTCCAGGTCGTAAAGCTTCTTCAAGCTGCTGTACACTCCATTGATCGCCTCGAAGCAGTCGACCTGCCCCTTGGACATCCTATCCATCTTTGCTAGCCGGTTCAGATTGGTCGCGAACTGATCAAGGCTCGATTGTAGAGCGATCCCACTCGGGACTTTTAAGTTCTGCAGCAGCACTTTGCTCGCTGCGATGCCCATATACTGCTCCTCTTCCTTCTTCTCAGCCTCGCAGACAAATATCTGCGGGACCACCCCCTCCACCACATCACCTTGCAGGTTCACCACCAGCATCATTTTCTCACCAACTCCTGCCAAAGATATTTCGGTCTCGTCCCCAACTGCGGTAAGACCACATCTTCGCGCAACCCTCTCTATCCCAGATTTACACACGCGGCCTTTCGGTCCACCAATCTTCTGTAGAATCTTCTTCATCTTGGCCCTCCTCTCTTCCTCCTCATTCCGCTTGCGACCAGCGCCCACGCCCATAATCTCACTCATGCTCGGCACCATACCAGCAGCAGCCAACATAGGCGTTGGAACATTCAAATTCGGCGTGCCGGTACCCAAATCCACGCCGAGTCCGTGGAGTGTGCCGGGCGTGCCAAAATGCTGACCAGGCGAGGAGCCCGATCCCGTTTGGCTCAACGATCCAACCATGGGCGTGGCGGCCAGCGTCTTACTGCCATGGCTACTGCCAACCGTAGGATGGTTCACGGGGGTCTTAGCCGCGTGGTCTTTTCGCGTTGCGGCGGGCGAAGGCACGCTTCGAGGTGCGGGCGACGCGGTGTTGTGGGGTGTGCTGATGTGGCCGGTCGCTTTCTTAGATGCGGACGACGGCTGCGTCACGGGCGCAGTGGTGTTTGGCGTCGACATGGTCGCGGAAGGGCGCACTTTCGTTTGCGCGTGTTGTGCGAGGCTCACGGCATGGTTTGTTGATGTTGATGTTCGGTCGAGAATGTGAGTTCGCAAGTTAAGAACGACCAGATTCGGCAACGAGCTTTGGTACGCCGATCACCGCGAGGGCACGTGCCTTCTCCACGATAAGGTCACATTTGCCATACAGTTGCAATGGACGAACGAGCGAAGCAGAAATTGTTTTGAACTTCTCAATTATGCATTTCTCTAGCTACTCCCAGCTAGAGCAAGAAAATGTTCCTCTAATTTGGTCCTGTTCAAACGCCGCGGCAGCATTCAAGGCTGCCCATAGTACAATTGATCTGCCGCCCAGGAAGGGGATATCATCTAGAAGCATTCGCGGCGCGGCGGCAGATCTGTGAGGTCGGTTGGGTCAATCGGTAAGAGTTCGGGTGGTCGTGGTCTCGTTATCGGTCATCTAAGGCTTGACAATCGGGACAACAGTGTCAACAGTCTCAGCAGGTTGCTGCGACTTCTTGAAAACGTCGGCGCCCTCAACTTTGCCGCAAATCTGTTCGTCACGTCAGTATGAAGCTCACATGGCAATGGTTTCAAAGCAACTTACAGTCTCAACGATCATACCGGTGATCTGGTACGGGTCGCCGTTGGAGGCGGGACGACGGTCCTCAAAGTAGCCCTTGCCCTCCTCGGCAACAGCGCGGTTGACACGCACTGATGAGCCACGGTTGGCAATGCCCCATGTGAACTTGTCATATGATGCAGTCTCGTGTGCGCCAGTCATGCGGGCCTCGTTGCCCTCACCGTACACAAGCATGTGCTCCTTGTGGCGGCCAGCCAGCTTCTCCATAGCGGCCTCGATGGCCTTCATGCCGCCATCATTTCGCATAGCCTCAGTCGAGACGTTGGTGTGGAGACCGGCACCGTTCCAGTCACCAGGAATTGGCTTGGGTGCGAATGTGATCTTGGCGCCAAAGTCTTCTGCGACACGGTGGAGGAGGAAGCGAGACATCCAGAGCTGGTCACCGACTGTTCACGTGTTAATTTGTGGGGAAGAAGTGGTGTGGAGCAGCACTTACGATCGATGCCCTCACATGGGCCGACCTGGTACTCCCATTGAGCTGGCATCACCTCGGCGTTGGTACCAGAGATGTTGATGCCAGCGTACAAGCAGGCCTTGTAGTGTGCCTCGACAATGTCTCTGCAGAAGACCTTGCCAGTTCCGACACCGCAGTAGTATGGGCCTTGTGGAGCTGGGAAACCTCCCTTTGGCCAGCCGTACGGCCAGCCCTCGAAGTCGAGCAGGGTGTATTCTTGCTCGAGACCGAACCAGAACTTCTCACCCTTGTGCTTCTCCATAACGACGGCGGCATCGTGACGGAAGTTGAAGGCATTTGGCTTGCCATCGGACATCCAGGTCTCTGCGAGCACGAGAATGTTATCGCCAAGGCGGAATGGGTCTGGGTAGACGGCAACAGGTCGGAGGTAGACGTCAGAGTTGTCGCCAGGTGCCTGGGCAGTGGAGGAACCGTCGAAGTTCCATTCTGGAAGACTCTGGAGGCCGGTGTATGAGCTCTTCTCGATGGTCTGCAGACAGTCGCGCGTTAGCTAGGAGATCTACCGCGGCATTTCTTGGTTCCTGCGTTGTCTGGCATGTCCAACTGTTTGGAACAGTTTGAGGCGACTGCCATGTGACCCCGCCGTTGAGGCAGAGCGCACTGGGCTTCTAGCGTCCGAAGCACGCCGAAGGCGGCATTTCGTCAAAGCCGCATCAGACCCTGGCAATGGCAGTCCTCCTCATTGACGGAGATTTCAGGAACTCAAAAAAAATGAGACGCAGAAATCCCCTCTCTGCTCGCAGTCCAGATGTCGAGAGATGGTGGGACACTCACCTTGCACTTGGATCTCACACCTCCGCTGGCGTCAATCCAGACATATTCGGCAATGATCTTATCTCGCTGGTCGAGTTTGAGGTATTTCTCAAGCTGCGTTCTGTCAGCTTCGGCGCCACCACCGAGCCGCGCTCAGAGGACAAAGAACTCACAGTGGCAGTATTCGAGACGATTTTTGAGTCGGCCTGAGTCAAGCAGATCAGCGCTTAGTTCAGCGAGTAGTGGCAGTCGCAGCTTACCATGATTGCTGTGGTTGTGTTGCAGGTGTTTGGGGGAGTTCAAGAGGGATGGAGTGTTTGCAAAAGGCAGAACAGAGCTGAGCTCAAGAAGTGAGATTGGTGACTGGGGAGTCGGAGGAAATAAAGCAATCGGTTTCGAGGTCGCAAGGTGGGCTTTGAGTGTTTTTAGGTGAGCCGACTGAGCCACCAAAATAGTCTGTGCACCCTGGTCAGTACCGCCGGTTATCGCCCTCGCCGCTTCGTCTCAAAGAAACTACGTTTTGGCAGCTGCTGCTGAGGGCGGGCGACTTTGCCGCGGCGGGTGTGGGTGAACGGCGAGGCGGCGATCTAGATGTCGTCGATAAGGGTGCCAGAGGGCATGTCACTTCTGTATGTCAAGCAGATCCGCGTCACTGGCCATCGAAGGCATACTGCTGTAATTGCTTTTTGGTGATTCGACACACGTACACAGCACAGGGCCTCCCATCCGCTGCATGCGCGATTTCTTTCACACGCAGCGACACGCGCGTCTGAGCAGATGCTGGCCTGGCACGCCGCCTGTCACGGTCGCGCGTTTCGAAGCGACTCCCCAAACGTGTGCCGACGCCGCAAAATGGGCCACTATAGACACCCACCACCCCGCTAGTATCGCTGCTCTCGCGAGTAGCAGGTAGGCCATTTGTCCAGTGCTGTTTCCAGAAGGCCCACGTCACACACGATCCTGGACGCCAATCGCCCGCTGTCTGCGATTAGAGCGGCGCCCAGCGCGGGTTTGCGTCTGCAGGAACCACCAGAAACGCTGTCCACGCTGGCTCCGGCGGGTCCCATTGCCCACCGTGGGCTCATCCTGGTGCTGGGCGGTGCAGTATCTGCCCGCGGCCAACGCGCTATATGCAGGCGTGCTGAGATGCGCGGACTGCTGCTTTGAACCAGCTCACACGACACCGACCTCATCCTCACTGCAATTGATATGCAGTCCAGCAACGACATCACACAGCATCCCCATTATGGCATCGGAAACTCTCTCCGCAGAACCCTGTGCGTCGCCGTACCGAGCATGCAGGGCCGCCGCCGTGGGCTAATGCAAGCATATCTCTCGCAATCCTGGTCCAATCACTTTACCTAAACACTTCCACCGACGGTCAAAGCCGGCTGTAACGATGGGGTAACACAAAGGAGCTGTGGCGGTGCAACGGCTCTACATTTGCCCACGAGCCCAATTGCTATTTGCAGCTACGGTACCACTCGCCGAGTTGGCCGCGGGCAAACGGCCTTGGCACGCCCTCATCTCAGACATGATGACTCTCCTTGTTCCCCCGACATTCGTACTGCGGTACCATGTACTCGCGTCGGCATATGGCTGTCTCTTTCTGTCAGGAAGGGATGACGGTGTCGGAACGAGCACCCGCTTTCTTTTACTCCATTCAAATGGCAAATCCTCAGCGCGTAGGAGGCGGTGGGCGTTGGCCTCACTTTGCTGCCTGCTCCCTCATTTGATGGTACATGGCCATCATCTAAGACTCGGTCAGCAGTAGTCTCACGCCAACAAGGAATAACGCGGCCGCTGCCCAGAAGCTGGGGACGAACAGAAGTTCTGTTGAAGTCTTGGAGAGCCATTGGATTCGACGCTGACTACTGTAGCGCGTGCGACCACTGTCCGGCAGCAGGGTACAGAGAAATGTTTCACTGAACTTACATTTTTCTGGCGTTCCTGCTCCCAGGTGTCGAAATTCCTCTTCGTCATCTGCACCGGAATCTGTTCCGTTCCTGCAGCCAGGCCGGCGTATGCTTCCTCCACAAAGTCTGCGAGCGGCATACCGATATGGCGACCCTTGCCCTGGAACTCCGGCTGATGCTTGTCGTCGTGTAGCTCGGTCTGGACTGCGGGAGGCAGCACCTCGATGATCTTGACATTGGAGTTGATCTCTTTCATTTGCAACCTCAACATCATGACCATATGATGGAGCGCTGCCTTCGACGCGCAGTAGTTCGGACAGTACACAATCGGCGCGAGGGCCAGGCCGGACGTGATGTAAACCAGCGCAGTCTCTTGAGGCGCCTTCTTCTGCAAGACTGGCAGGAAAGCCTTGGTCAAATGCATGTAAGAAAGGTAATTGGTCGTGAACTCCGTCTCTAGGACGTCCAAGTCGACACTCTCCGGATCTTTCCAGTCCAGATGTCGTTGCATTCCCGAGTTCAGAAAGACACAGTCCAGATCCGGATGCTTCGATGCAATGTCGTTCACAAATTCGGGGATTCCTTTCAGATCGGTTATATCAAAGACTGCAGTATCGACCTGCCCTTCTGCCCCATGCTCTTCTGCGAGCTTCTTCAAATTCTCTGCACGTCTGCCAACGGCAATGACTGAGCTGCCTTCGTCGAGGAACTTCTTCGCCATCGCCCATCCAATCCCGCTAGTGGCGCCCAAGACGAGGACTTTCTTGTACTGAAACGGCATCTTGATCGATAGAATGAAGAACCCAAGTGATATGAAGTCTCAGCTGAACAACTCCAGGAAAAAGATGTCTTGTGAACTTTTCCTTCCAGCACTTCCACGTCTTCTTCTTACCCGTTCGTACCGTGAGCGATACATGATGTCACTGTTTGATAGGACAGATCTCGCTTCTGTTGCCGCAAACTCCGTGTCAATGACGACGAAGCATCAGTTGGTCCTTTGTGAGTTGCTTACGATATCGGACGAACGAGAATGAATAAAAGCCCGAGTGAACAATATATAACATCGGACGAACGACAACACCCGACCGAAATCGAAGCCGGATCGCTTGGCTCGTAATCGAAAGCAGGATCAATCAGCATCAAGATTCAAAAAGCTGGCTTGGATGCTCGACGAACGCCTGAGAAGGCAAGATTCACCATCGCAACGAAGCTTGGAAGTGCTTGTTGTGCCGATCTTCCACTGCCTATACAAGATCGTAGTGTCCGTGCGTAAGGCTATGTGCAATGCAAGGCAATGGCAAACCCTCCATTGCTCCAACTTTCCGAGCTCCCTCGTGGGAGAAAGATAGGCTATGAATTCTCATGTCAATTGTATATCATAGCTAGCCTGACCAGCTCGCTTGAAAAATGCAATGCATCTTTGTCCTGTTGCCAGTTCGCATCTATCTAATCGTTCGCCTCAGCCAATGCTATGATAAGCCTACTCGCCACGTCTAAGAAGGGGAAGGGACTAGTAATCTCCTTCTCATCCCCAGTGCGACCAGCGCCGATCAATTCTTCTCCAGCTTCGTCGACCTCCACATCCTCAGAATCATAACCATCCGGTGCGTTGTCCACGCGGATCGCATCGCTTTCGTTACTGCCGCTGGTTTCATAGCTGTACCGGCGTATAAGTCTTTCGTAACCCGCACACTTGAAATCCACGAGGTAGAAGTCTTTTTCTATCGCGTACAGCTGGATTGTCATGTACACCCAGACACTCTCTTGTGCCTTCGGTACTTCGCTGCCTGCAATGGAGTTGCGAAGGGACCCGGCCGCGCTGCCGTGAGCAGGACCAGTCGCAGCAATGTTTTCGGCGCTGGCACTCAAGCTCGGAGTATGGTGTCCGGAGCTGTTGCCCGTCATAGACACAGCTGCCGAATTCGACTTCCTCTGATCGTGGTGCAGGTTGACCTGAGAGCTGTGCGCGGAAGCAGGATGTGGAACACCCGGCGGAAACATGCCCTCCTTCTTGAATCGAGCATTGATGATCCAAGGGTCTTCCGGAATGTTCTCATAGCCATAATCATTCCAGCGTCCATATCGCTCTCTCCCGCGGACGTTCTCGCCATTTTGACGGCGCTTTGCACGTCGCCGTTCTTGCTCCTCATGGGTCGCGTACTCAGGATCTGTCCCCGAGCCAGGGTCGGAATCACTATACTCCGGACTGTTGCTGCGGGTTCTGTTGTCACTGCCACGCTCTGGACTTGCGTCCCCACTGCCAGATTCGTGCTCCTTTGGCGGCTGTACTTCCCAGACGGCTCCCATTTTGTGCAACGCGCGATAAATTGCCAACATGGCTTCAGCAGGAGAGTTACGACTCCTGATGCCAAACTGCCATTTGGTCGGTCGCTGCTTCTTCGGCCTGCCTTCTGGTATTTTTGTCATATCGAGATCGGGTTTGTCGCTTCGAGCAAGATTTGTAGAGCTTCTGCTATGTGGTTTGAGTCGCCTTGCAGTGGCCTCCTGTTCCTCTTTGGTACGTGGCTTCCCTTCAGGGTCGTCGTCGCCCGTAGTTGGAGATTGCGATTTGTTAATATGACCTCGCATATATGCCGCGTGGTAGCTAGGTAACGATGAAGGCAGAATCGCGATGGTGGACGCAGGCGAGCGTGCTTCCATAAGCGAGCCAGATCCAGTGGAGCCATGGCGCGGGTGGTCCAGAGGCGATTGCGCAGGCCTTCGTTGAGGCGTGGGAGTAGGCTGCTTCTTAGGCGGTGGAGTCATTGCGAGTAGACTTCCGGGATTAACGGGCGGCGAGTTTGGATAATCTGGGATGGCTCTTTGCAGTGCAGGATTTGCCGCCTGTATCACGTTCTCTCGTACGATCAGATACGCATCTTTGATGGCACTCGGCTCGTCCTTCTGTAATGCTTCTTGCACATCATCTGCAGCATAACCCATTGTCTTGCCAAGCTTGCCGACAACGCTTTGATGAATCTTCTCCTGAACGACAGCAGGCTTGCCCTTTCCAAGCGTAGCAGGATCAATGGACTTGGTTGGGTCAACACCAGTGTCGAAGGATTCCTCCGGGGGAACAGCAAGATACTCGGCAAGGTCCTCCTGGAACCACGGATCCAAGCGAATGTCTGCGATTCCAATCCTGTTCACTGGGTTGACTTGCAACATCGATTTGATCAACCGCGTCGCGCCTGGTGATAGATATGGAGGTATATGGTACTGGCCTTGAGCAATCTTCTTGAAAAGCGCCGGAATGTACTCGTCGTCGAATGGCAACCTTCCAACAAGCAAGACGTAGAGAATGACACCACAACTCCAAACGTCTACCTCTGGACCGGCATACAGCTTACCGCTAATGACTTCTGGCGCGGCGTAGTTTGGGCTACCACAGCTCGTTTTGAGGAAATTGCCATCAGTCATGATATTGCTCAATCCGAAATCGGCAATCTTGACATTGAGTTGGTCGTCAAGCAGCAAATTCTCTGGTTTGAGATCGCGGTGCACAATCTTGTGGCGATGGCAGTACTCCACAGCGCATATTATCTGCTGGAAGAATGTTCGGGCCTTCCGTTCCTGCATCTTGCCGTGCTGCACAATATAGTCGAATAGCTCACCACCGGCATACTCCAACACCATGATGATATCAGTAGGCGTGGTGATGACGGTGTACAGCTTGATGATGTGTGGATGGCGTAGCAGTTGGAGATACTGTATCTCACGTTCGATACGCCCTGCCATATCTCGCGTCACCAGCTTGCGCCGAGATATTATTTTCAGCGCCACCTTCTGGCCAGTGACAGCATGCGTGGCGAGCTTCACCTTGCCGAATGACCCTTCTCCCAGCGTCTTGACCACATTGTACTGGCCCAGTCTAGTCATTGCTTTGACATGCTGTGGATTCGCCGACGAGCGCATGACCGGCGTTGCCGAATGCGCCTGAGGCGGCTGAGGCTGCTGTTGCGGTCGGTCATCGCGTGAGTTGCGGCGTCCGGCAGGTGTTGGTGCTATCGACAGTGCCAGATCCTCGTCATCGAGCGCGGACGTCATGGCGGGCATGGAAACTGGCCGGGACGACCAGGCTCACGAGCAGCCCTCAGCCCTGGGCGCGCAAGTGGACATGTGCCGGCGGGCGGCGAGGTGCGCGGAGGCAGTGGAAGTTCGAGAGTGTCGTCTTGGCAGGCGTGACTGTCCGTCGCTGATTGAGTTCGAGGGTTCGCTGCTGATGCTGTGTCCGTGTGTGCTTCTGAGTCGTGCCGCTGGGGTCTGTGCCGGCCGTCGTGCGGCGAAATGATGTTTGGCGATGTCGCAGCAGCGGGGCGCAGGGTGAGGCGGCGGTGGAAGAGCGATGATGGGTGGTCGGTGGTGGATGGCGATCAGAAGGCGGGGGGGTCGTGAAGTGGGAATGGGAATGGTTGTGGAGTTCAGCAGATCCGACGTTCGGTGCACAGACAGTCGAGCAGCGCAGCAGAATATCGTGAGATAATTAGACTTTCTCTTAAACACCTGCATCCTGCGCGCCTGACGTATCCCAGAGCTGGGACTGCATCTGGCACGTCTTGCAGTCTGCACGCTCGGCCATCGAATGATGGAAGTGATCAGCACCATCGAGCTCCATCCTACTCGCCGTCATGGCTGCGCCCTTAGAAGCGTCGCACAACGAGACAGACAGAGCAACCAGCAGCCGGCAACCGCTTGACCATGCTCACATTTTCCGCGCCATGCCCGAAGCAGATTTGAGTGCATGACTAGCGCATGCAGAGTCTTTGGTCTCCAGTCCTACGGGGGAGGGGCACGCGAGTCCAATACTCGCCGTGTGAGACTTCCCGAGACTCTCCACGCGCTGTCAATTCACTGCGGCGAAGTTTGTTCGTACCGTGGAAGTTGTCAACGTGGTCATCATGGGAGAGGGACCACGAGAGGCGGGCAACACACGTCTGGGGCGCCCCGGACCTGCTCTTCCAGGCTGCATACGCGAATAATATATGCTATCCTGGACCTGGGTATCTGTCTTCAGCCCGAACAACGACCAGACTTATGCACGACACAAGCGGAGGCTGCATCTGTTGAATGAGCATGATGGTCGCGTCCGCGTTGCTGTTCGCTACCCATCATGCATAAACAGCCATTACAAACACGCGCTGGATCTTGGGATGTACCAAGTGAAGACGGAGCTTACTTGAGAGTGCAAGTGGCTGGATACCCACCAAGTAAAAGACGAAGCCGTATGGCACGGCACATGTGGAAACTGTTCACTACAACTAGAAAGGCCCGGGCAACATGGAGAAACAGGATCAGTGTGAATGTCAGCTTCAGCCCAGCTTGGATCAGCTGCTCACACTACTGCCACAGGGAAATCGAAGATTGCATTCTCCTCGCCTGTCTGTGCTGCAGGACTTGAGAAGCTTGAGCACCGCAGCGGCGGGGAGATGCCGCAAGCGAATCTACAAGCGATACTGTGGTGATATGACCGTTTTCGCTGATCAGAATTGGGGTTGATTCGGAGTATCGGTTCGATCAATCGGGAACAGCCGCCGCTAGCTCATGACCCCCTGTGTAAGTGAATTTGTGCCAAGAACGCTTGGGAACCAGAGGAGATATCGAACGTGCTGTTTGGTGCTCACGCAGCGCTCGAATCACGGCCAGCAATGTTGCGGAGGTATGACCAAATGTACAAATCTAGCATCGCTCCGAACATCAACGACCGACTCACCATCGCGAGGTGCATTCTGCCGGTCCAGGCAAGGATGATCGCCATGAGCCACTCAGAAGCGCTCCGATTACGGCGTTGCCGACTTGCAACAACCCAATGTATTCAGCATTGTCGGAGCAACTCATAATGCCACCTTGAGTCCTCCGCAGATTGCATACAGACATACGAACATCCTCACGACTTCCCGAAGGTCGCAATGGAGGAAATTAAGCTGATTGGTACCTCTGAGATCTCGAAGCACAATTCTCCAAACGACTGCTGGCTTGTGATTGAGGATCAGGTCTGGGACTGCACCAACTTTGTAGACGATCATCCTGGAGGAGCAAATTGTGCGTTCAATGCAGCTTAGTATATCGGCATGGCTCTGCGTCTTCTTACCAAAATTCAGTGATTCTAAAATATGCTGGCAATGATGCGACAACGGCTTATCTGGAGGTCCATTCCTCATCAGTTGTCAAGAATACCCTACCGATTGGCTGCTTCGTTGGGAATCTCGATCGGGCGACAATCACATCGGATTGGAAGCAAGAACCGATAGCGACGAACGCTGCGCAGGCCGTGCCTGAGAACGAGAGACCACCACTACACACAGTGATCAATGCGTACGTGACCCCGTCCTGAACTTGCGCTCAATTGCTTATCATATACGTTAGCCATGATTTCGAAGATGTCTCTGCGAAGACCTCATCAGCCAAAACTCACGCATTCTATTCCACGGCATCCACCGACTGCTGGACACGAGACATGAACCAATCTATGCTCAAAAGAATCTGGTTCAGGCCCCGAGTAATGCGAGACGTAGCTGACATCGATACATCAAGCACAATACTTGGCGTCTCTGTCAAAGTCCCGCTATTCATCTGCCCGAGTGGCCTGGCAAAGATGATTCATCCAGAGGGCGAGAAAGCGCTGGCGCGTGCAGCGCAATCTAGCGGCATCTTGGAGATTGTAAGTCAATTTCTATCTAGGGTTCAACTTTAAGTCGTCTGACCTCATCGTCATCAGGTTTCTAGCAACGCTTCCTATCCCGCAAACGAGATTATCTCCCAAGCACCCTCTCACCCATTTATGTTCCAGCTCTACGTCAACAAGGATCGACCTAAGACCGCTCGAGTCATTGCCAACGCCGTGAAACTTGGCATGCGCGCCATCTTCATCACGGTGGACGCCGCAGGTCGAGGCAAGCGCGAGTCCGATGAACGCCTGCGCGTCGACGAAATTGCCATCAACCCCATCACCGGAGAATCACTTGGCAAACGTGGCGGCGGCCTGACCAAAACTGTGGGGGCATATATCGATCAAGCCCTGATATGGGAAGACATCGACTGGATTCGAAGTCTCACCGACTTGCCTATCGTGCTGAAAGGAATACAAACCGCCGCTGACGCCAAAATGGCAATGAAGTACAACGTACAAGGCATCTTACTCAGTAATCACGGCGGGAGGAACCTCGATTACTCGCCTCCTTCTATTCTTCTCCTCCTGGAACTCCACAAACAGTGTCCTGAGATCTTTGACAAAATGGAAATCTACATCGATGGAGGCTTCCGTCGGGGCGGAGATATGCTTAAAGCTTTATGCTTGGGCGCGAAGGCTATCGGCATGGGAAGGCCGTTCTTATTTGCTTTGGGATACGGCGCTGAGGGTGCGGAGCACTTGGTTGAGATTTTGCGAGATGAGCTCGAGAGTGCGATGAAATTGGTGGGTGTGAAGGATTTGAGTGAGGTGCATCCTGGATTGGTGAATACGAGTGATGTGGATCATCTTGTACCTGAATCGGAAGAACATTCGTATGCAAAGTGGAGGCCCAAGGCGAGGATTTGAGCATGTCTGTTCGCAGGAGTGAGTGGGCCGAGGCGCGGAAGAACATATGCTCTATCATCGAAAGCTACAGCAATAGAGGATGATTGCAGTCGGAACATACGAATAGAAGCAAGTATCGATTCTGGGCGGCAACCAGCAGATTCGCTTTGGCACTGACAGTGGCCATGAGGAGGCCGGACGGTGCCTCCATAAGACGTTGCCCGTACAACCGCTCGTCGTTTTATGATTCGGCGGCTTCGCGAGCACGACGCATTGCAGAGATACTCGGGGATCGAATTGAGATCTCCTTCTGCCTCCACATGTTCGATATCTGACATCTGGAGAACCGCTGGCTCTGTTAGGCTCACGTTTTCAGAGATATTGAGAGAAAGCCGTCGGCTCCGTATAACCCTAGACGTTCGATCCCGTCGTATGAACACACGTTGGTTCTGAGAAATCGCCGTTCGGCAGAAACATTGGGAATCTTCGAAACGTGCAGAATTGCCTTTCTGTTTGAGCTGCTCTGCTAAGTATAGAAGTCCTCGGCCTCGCAGTGTTAGCAAAAGCATAGATTGCAATACCTACCATACCAGACAACCCCTAGAACGTAACCAATCACGAGGAACCCCATGCAAAAATGTCTCTCTCCCAGTCATTTACAAGAACAGCCTCAGAGGAGACACATCAACCTCAATTGAGCCACTACTGCGCTTCCTCCGCCTTCTTCCTTTCCTCCTCCTCTTTCCGCCTCTTCTCCTCCTCCTTCTGCTTCTTCTCATTCTCCTTATCCTCCTTCTTCTGTTTCTCCTCTTCTTTCTTCTTCTCCTTTTCAATCGTCTTCTCATCCAACCCAAACATCTTCTTGCACTCCTTACTTCCGAAATCGGGCAGGCAATTGTTCGCCTGTGCACGAGCGTGGCCAACGAGGTTACCCGTTCCGCAATAATCAGGGCCTCGAACTCCGACAGGAATCTCGTTGATGTGTCTGCGGAACCAGTCTATGCTGCATTCTCGCGGAGTTGGAATGGGACACGGCAAGGCCTCTGCTCGGCCGTAAATGTAGTCTTGATCAAGTGGCGGCATCGGGCATTTGAATTCCTCCGTAGAGGTGGCATTCTGGTCCTCGATGGTGTTGCTCGGAATGACCGCCTGCGTGCCGTTTGGATGAGTTGCATTGGGAGACGCGAGACCATGAGTCGTGACGTTGTCATATGGAATGCCCCCTGGGAGCACCCAAGCCTCCTTGCCGGTGGGTTCTAGCTCACCAAATACAACCGTCAAAGGTTCCATGTTCGTTGGTGTCGGAAGGGGAGCAACCGTGTTGATACAAGGTGAGAGGATGATGTCCATTTCGGCGGCTTCCAAACTCCATAGCTCAGTCCTGTATGTTGGTCGCTTGCAAGTATCATCATCCTCGAGCTCCGAGACCAACTGTGCAATGCCGGATCCAATGGTAAAAGCCGCCATTGCAACGTTGCCAATTGCCCCCAGTGGTACTTTGGGTAATTTGACAGCACGCAAAGTGTTCCTAGCCGCTGCCCTTGCTCGCGCTGGGCTGCTGACCAGTTCGTTGATGCGAGACAAGATGCGCGAGTGTCGTGCTGCCACATCTTCGGTGACTCTGTAAGACTCCGAAGCTAGGATTTCCACAACATCTGCAGCTCTCACCTGTGCTTCTCCCAAAGCAGTGGGCATTTTTCTATCGTAGTGGAGAAGCGGGGAAGGCCGATGCCACCCCATCCTAATGTATCTTCGAATCGCACCAAAGTCCATGAGGTCGGACAGCTTTGCGCCTCTTCTCGCGGCGATGGAGTCGGCGACATTCCGCATCTGTTCCGGCACAGCTGTGCCTGGCTCAAACACTTCTCGAAAGAGATCCGCGCCCTCGAGCAGCCTGGTCCTTTCTCTAAACCTGAAAGTATCCCTTGACTGCTCAAGTGCACTCTCGACACGCTCGGCTCGTTGTGCCGTCAGGACTTCCACGTTGGGGTGATTCGGATTAACCTTCGGAAGGTTCTGTAGATCTTTGAACGCGCGTTGTGTCTTCTTCGAGCTTTCCAACGCCTTTTCGACGGCTTGTTTCCGTTGGCGTAAACCGGGAAGCCATGTGTCGCCGGGCGTCATGCGATTAATTTTAGTTCCAAGCTCTAAAAGCTCTTCTTCCCACTCCTTGGTAAAGCGCTGTTGCTTTCGCAATTCGTCCTTAATCCAGCGCTTGCGGACATGCTGTTCCCGGTTGACAGGCCACCATGAACGACGTCCTGCCCCGTTATTTGCGCGAATGCCATCTACGGCTTCGAACTCCGCGAATTGCACGTGCCTCTCGCCTCTTACAATGTTGCTTTTCAGAGCGGACTTTGCATGTACTGCGAACTGTAACGGAAGGCCCAGACCAATTGCTTTTCCTGCCGCAGTGCTGAATTTGAGACCCATCAAAGATATCATGCCTCCGTGAATAATTGTGGTGTCTGTAGACTGCATCACTGGAGGAGTCTCGTGGTCGTCTTGAACTTCCACAGTACGTGTGAGCGGATTTCCCATGCTGTCTGTCATGATGCCGCCTTCAGCACCTGTCCGTACTTGAAACAATCGATGCGGCAAGGCCGGGTTCACTTTCGTCTCCTCTTTTGGACCTCGTCGTGACAGCAGAGACGGGCGGGGCACAAATCCACCTTCTGAAGGCAAATGCCAGTCAGCTCCCGCAGGCGCAAGGATGTCGATTTCCTCCGAGCGTTTCTCGTGTGTCATGGACGCATTCACAGCATTTCCCGCAGGTGTTGGGTCGACGGTTATCATCTGCCAGTAGCCAGCCGTTATAGGTGTAAGATCGTCCACATGCCGCGTCTGCTCGTATCCCAACAGCGGCATACCGGTATCATCGTGTGCGACAAGGGGAACATAACCCAACATTCGAAGACCTGGATCGACTGTCCGCGAATCGTCCGATCTGAGGCTGGCATGCCAGATCCTTCCCTCATACTGGTCAAATACTTCAGTCGTGTATATCATGTTCTCCGACACCCCTCGAAGAGCATCACGGTTCGCATTAGCTTCGTCCGCGAACTGTTTCATAATCATGAGAGCCTCGTTCCGGTGTCCCTTCTTCATCTCGCTGTGCGCCAATGCGTCATCTAGATCTCGGTACCCGCTGTCCCTGGCCTGCATAACTGCGAGCGTCGTTCGGAAGGGATTCCACTCTTTCAGAACTCCAACTTCCCAGGATGCTTTCATGGCCGATAACACCGGAATGACGGCGTCTCTTTGCGCTTGATCAACGGGACACAGGTAGGAGTCTCCAAGGCAGGTTGGTCCGTTGAATAGTGTTTCCATGAAAAGTGACCCGCGAAGGTCTGTCACGTTGTAGCTGTTATCCACCAAGGTGTGGTTGCTATACCAGTCACGAAGTGGGGTCTGCACTTGGTCGCTGGTTGCCCAATACCTTCTGACCCTTTCGAGCCCTTTCTTGTCTACGTCGTCCTTATCAAGCCATTGCTGTGTCATGGAGATCACTCTGAGGTTCGTGTCTAATGATGAATCCCACTGGGGGAAAGTAAAATTTCTCCCAAAGTTTTCCGCCAGCAACCAGGTTCTTGCGAAGGCCTCCTGCACAGCGGCAATGTGCTTATGTGACCAGACTTGTACCAAGTTCGCGGCATCACCTGAAAGGCGGAGGACATGTCAGTGATTTCCTCGAAAGCGACAGCTGGTCACTCACAGTGCTCGTGTGGACAAACTGGTTCTCCCATGCCAATAGACTTTTTTGTAACAGATGATGTCAAGCCTTGCAGAGCTAGATGACATTCCACGTCTTTCTGGCATCGCTCTTCGAACTCGGGGTCATAGCGGAGTGCCTGGCTTCGTCCAATTTCAGCGCCCAGAAAGGTGCTGTGGTAAAGGAGTCGTCGAAAAGCCCCAGTGTCGAGCGGGCCGATGTAGTCATCGTCCATGTCAGACTTGTCCTTGTTCGAGGCAGTGCGATCCTGAAAGTTAGGGGCAGTATCATTTCGATGCTTGTGGCTTGTCGCATTTTGAACCTGTGCATGGACCGTTGCAGAGAGCACCAAAGTGGCGAGCAGCAGACGCGACTGCTGCCCGATCGCCATATTGATGAACGCGGACACACGATGCGACTATTCGATGGATGCAGTGTACGGCTCTCGATATGTGCGAGCGGATGGACTGCAAAGGATTCAGCGGAGAACATTGGGGAGGCGTCGAACAAAAGTATTCCTCGGCTTGACCGGCATTGTATTCAATGTCGCGTGGTACCTGTCCACTGTCTCTGTGTTCCTGAACCGACAACAACTCGTCGGCTCGCCATCTTGTGGCTTCGGCATACCAGTCCAATATTCCTTGCCGGACCGTCGCTCAAAGACGTCGGCTGGAGGTACACAAGCAATGGTGTCTCACAAAGTTCACGGCCGAGCCACTGTGCCTCTTTGCTACGCTTAGAAGCACAGAATGTCTTGCATTTTTGGAAAATGCGCTGGTTTCTTGCGATCACTAGTCGCATCTCCGATAATCCCTCAAGAAACGCTTTCGACCTTAGCCAACCTCGTGGGTTTCGGAGCTCCTCCTTCTGCAGAGGAAGACCTGCCTTCTCTCTCCACTCTCTGCGTATTCTCGAGCCGGCAACAATTTGTCGGCTCGCAGTTTTGTGGTTTCAGCATACCAGTCCCATATATTCCTTGCCGAACCGTCCTTCTCCGCCGACTGTTCCCGAAAGTATACCTTGGCCTGCTCACGACCAAAGCGAGTCCATTATGTTACTCAAATAATTCAACGGTTAGAGCTCACCACCGGCCCTGCCAGATTCGTAGCAAATTTCATGCATCAGTCCTTGCTCTCGCCTTTCTTCTAGCCGCGATCGCCGACTCGAGACCTGCAAAATGCTCGCAAAATGCTGGATCATCTCGGCCTGTGCGCTATTCTCTCGGTCCTGGGCGATAGAGAATGGTAAGTCAAGTCTATCTGGAGCATGATCGTCCGATGCCTTGTTCACGACTCTGGATATTGCTGTTGCATCGGCTGCGTGCTGACCTGCTCATCCTCTCTATCAGGGCGTATTTCGCACAATGAACGCAACAACGTTGTACTGCGACGAGCGGAAGAACCACCACTGCTAGACCCGCACCATCTGCCTCAGTGCGTCAAACACGAGCCGGGATGCAAGGTCAGCAAAGTGGATACGATCTTGGAATTGTTCGACCCTGTGTCCTGGTTTGTGAACACAGCTGTGAAGGTGAAGGAGCGTGCGCAGAAATATGTCTCGGTGTTTCTCTATCAGGTTCGAGGGGAACCCGTTCGATCTGCCTTGGTCGATATCTGCCTACTGACATGTGAGCTCAGCAAACGTTCGATTGGCAGCACTGTCAAGGTACGAGATTTTCAACCCTCAGGACTCTGGTGAAGATCGCGACTGACTTAAATTCAGGTAATTCGGAGCACCATTTTGTAAGTGTATTCGCCGAACGACGGTCCTGGCTCCAACGCACCTGCTGATCGTTCGCCACAAGTTCGGCGGTAAAGGCCGATACCATCGCAAGATCCCGAAGAACGAGTGTGAAGAATGGGACATGCTTCCGGTCGCCAGTGAGTTCCGCAAGATCTTAGATATGCGCAGTGAGCGTCGATTGACAACTTGATCTACCAGACGTCAGTATGAACTACGTGCTCCCGGACTCCAAGATCGATAACCATTGCGATATGACTTTCTTCGACGGAAGAGGGTGCACCGGCAACGAAGTGTACAGTATGGTGTTCTTGAATGTCCGTATTCGTCTACGAAAACACTGACTGGGAGACTAGAACTCAAAGGAGAATATGGTGTGCAAATGATCAATGGCCAATCGTATTGCCATGTCATGCAGTACCCCAAAAGTGTCTTTGTAGGCCCTTGTAGCTAAGAGCACTCTCGGCATATGTGGAGATGGCACTCTTTGGCCAAAAAGCAGTGCCCGTTGCTGGGTATTTGGCGTCCGCGGCTTGCATGGAAAGCGATGGAGGCTTAGCCAACATTGGGAGCCTACAGTGTTGCATCACGACGGAAGAGACGATTGTCCAGACCATCTTCGACTTCCTAGGTAGTCCTGTGTATGAACAGCTACCGCATCTCTTTCAATATTGATCCCTGCTCGAGGTCCAGTGATATCGAAGCTGTGCCGCGGCGATCCGTGTCATGTAGCCATGCGCCATGGAGTTCGGATGTCCTGCGGCAGTGAGCACAAGACGGGACTGCCAATACTGCACAGCAGGGCGATGACAGGCGGGAGTCACAGAGCTGGAAGATGTCGAGAGTTGACGAACGGCCATGGTGCGCGCTGCACTGCTCTTGAGCTGCCGTCTTCGGCATGCCTGCCTGCACTTTCGCACGGCCTCTGGCCTCTGCTGGCTTCCCGCCACCCCTGTATACATGGGTGTGGAGAGTGGTATATCCCAGAGCCTGCCGTCTTCAGAGGTGACACATCGTCATGCTCGCCGCGTATGCAGTCGTCTCGTCGTTCAGACTCTCGGAGCTCGCGGTCGAAAAGGCTTTCCGTGCACGGCATGACACAGCGCCGCGCAGGCCGTGCGGCGGGGTTTGCTGGACCTTGTCGGTGAGCATCTTTCCGGCTGCCGTGTGCTGTACTGTACTGTATAGGCAGCGATACTGAGTTGACCAGGTGGGCAGACGCGTCGAGGCCAGGCACTATCAATAGGACGAGGTCGTGTTTCCTCGGCAGCTTTGAGTCATGCAACTCCGACATTCCTCCATACGACCAGCACACGTGCAGCAGTCCAGCGCCGCAGCTAAAGACTACCAATAGTAGAACTACGACCGTAGCTGGGCCCACGACATCCACCTTCACCCTCCGCCAAGAGCTGCCATAGAGCGATCAAAGTGTACTAGCTCGCATGCTCCAAATAGCTCACAGCTGTGCTGTGCATCTGACGCTGACGCTTGCGTGCAGCTCTCCGACCCTCCATCCTCGCACAAGACACGCTGCCAGGAGTACTGTACGCTTTGAGTAAGAATGACAAAGATCGGCTGAAGCAATGCCACCTTCCTCCACTCACGCGTCCCGTGTTCGGCTCTCGCTTTCCTGACCGCTGACTATAGCTGCTATTGCTGTGCTGTTCCTGCTGCTGCGGCCGCTGCAAAGAGGAAAGTGTGCCTCGTATTGCCTGCCCACTGCACTGCACTTGGTACTCGTCGAACAGGGACCAAGACACGAGAGAGAGGTCACTCTCACCGATTGCCGCCTGATTCTTTCCATCAGTGTCGTCTTGGTGGAGCAGTCTTTTGTAGCTGGCAAGTATATTAGACAGGTTCTTTCCATCCCTTCCTCGATTTCTCATCAGCACAACAAGCATTCCTCACCAAGACACAAGCTTGCTACATCTCAGCATCCACTACCACAACACAAGTCAAGATGAAGTTCACTGCAGCACTCCTCTCCATCGCGGCCCTCGCAACCGCTACCACCGTTAGCTACGATGAAGGCTACGACGATGCTGCCCGCAGCTTGACTGCCGTTTCCTGCAGCGACGGCAACACTGGCTTGATCACCAAGGGCTACAGCACACAAGGCTCCATCCCGACATTCCCAAACATCGGTGGTTCATGGGAGATTGCAGGCTGGGGATCTCCTCAGGTAAGCATACTCCCCAGTGATCCACAATACATTCCATTATCGATTACATGTGCTAACATTCCATCCCTCCAGTGCGGCGCCTGCTACACAGTCTCCTACCAAGGCCGAAGCATCAATGTCGTGGGCATAGACCGCTCCGGCGACGGCCTCAACCTCTCCAAAGCCGCGCTGAACACGTTGACTGGCGGAAGAGCAGTCGAAGTGGGAAGGATCGATGCTCAAGTGACCCGCGTCGACTCCGGCGTCTGCGGTCTTCGTGCATCGAAGCGCTCGATTGAGTTCATGGGTTAGACGACGAGCACCCCACCTACCACAATCTGTCGCAACCTACCAAAGATCAAAAGCAGCAACAGTATGATGATGGCATGCATGCACGATGAAAGACACGGCCGCATTGTACGATAGGACATGAGAGAAATGATAATGTAATTCTTTCCAAAAAGGTTTTCAGTGTATATATTCTCGCGTCTGTTCCATTTTCGTCGTGCCTTGCTGCCTTTTTGAACAAATGTGGCGCCCCCCATTCTTTTGTACTACTCAAGTAGGCCTTGAAATTTCATCAGGATCCCGTCTGCGTCTTTTCGTTGACCCAAGGTGGCACATGTATGCAGCCACATGCCTCGACGATGCACTGTTCCAAGCTCTCGGGCGCTTTGCGCGCATATTGATGGAAATCTCAGTGCAGTCGCGGTTGTCGAGCAGTTTGATTTCGGTCCCATACTTGCGAGCGACTGAATGCAGTGGTCCAAGTGGGCATCACGCGGCTACCAGTGCCGCAAGTAATTGATCTGACAATCTCAGTCCATCATAAGTACATTTTGGAGAAACTTTGTCGCACAGCTCCGCTCATGCACTTCTAGTCTGAGGTGGGGCTGGTGCAGGCCGATATTCCCAGACAATCTCTTCGTACGCTGATGTGCCTGCACTCTCTGAGTCTCGGACTTCAACAGTGCTGCTGGCATCGATCTCATCCGCTGTGTCTCTGCTGTCTGAATCCTCGTCGTCTGACAGCAACGGCCGAAGCTCCTCGTCGAATCTCGATAGGCTCGGGTAAGGAGGAGAGTCACTGCCGTCCTCGGTACGATAGGCATTCGAGTTGTGAAACACACCTCGCGGCGGCGGATCAGGCGAAGGCTCTCTCGACCCAGGTGCTTTGATGTAATATCTGATGCACACACCACGACACCTTTCGATATTTGCTTTCCTCAGAAACCTCTCCAAGTGGAGTTGTAGGAGCAGCCATTGTTGTTGCTCTTCAGGCTTCAGCTCGACTATCAAAACCATCATGCGATCTCTCCCTGCATTCCGATCCTTGCCAGATGCGTCCGGGCGATACAAGACCTGATCAGGAGCGCCACAGATGTATAGTCCATATCGGCCGAGACCCGATGCTAGCTCAGGAAGACGAGTCAGAAGATTCGTAATTTTGCGCCTGATGATACTATTCCGGCGTCCCCACACCTGCATTCTGTTGTTCGACAACGGATCCGATCTGTACACGTCTTCTACCCGTGTCATGGCAGGTGCGACCGAGAAGTGAGGAGGAACAAGCGGGTTGCCATCGTAGTGGTCAGGACGTGGCCCTAGATGTAGCCGCTCCACCCTCAGAGTCAAGTAGTCCAGTCTAAATGACCGAGGCTCTGACTCTTGCCTTGCCGCAAGCTCGAAACGTGATAGATCTGTGAATGCCGTTGAAGCTGTGCAGGACTGGTCAAGAGAATCCGAGGCCATATTTTCAATCCAGTTTTCTGACGATGCTTCCAAGTCGTGATCGTCTACTGCCTCGCAGTAAAAACGGAGCTGAATACACTGCTCTTGTCCGCAGCAAATTTCTTTATATCAACGGATGATGTGTACTTGATGTCGCTGCTCGTGTTCCATAGCGATGTGTGCGATGAGTTCCTGACAGCGGACAGTCGGCCGTGCACTGAGAGACCAGGCAAAGTCGAAGGTCTCAGTGAAGTGGCTGTCATCGGCGAACTATGTCAAGCGCGCCTGTGACTTCAGAATCGAGCGGTACCTTGTGCGTAAGCGCTTTCGACGCTTGCAGATTCGAACGTTGACAATATCTTCGTACGTCTTCGATCGACGGGAGTCCCCTACCAACCGAATTTGAAGCGCAGTCACGCACAGGGCGCCAAAGCGAGCGATAACTCGGCCATGGCAAATGCGTACCTCTGGTGAAGGCGTCGCGACAGCTGTCGCATACCAATCCCATCGTGTGACTTGGTCAGTGGTCCAATGACACTTCAGAAAGAGGTAACAATCGGCATCGCCGGCTTTGCAAGGCTCCGGCGGTATCGGCAAACCAGACTTTCACGGATTTTGTCTCGCTTGAGCATCCAGCTCTTTCAGCTTTTCAACAAGTCTTTCCCGAAGATAAGTGCTCAAACCCAAGATTCCCTCGTTCGTGACAACCCGGTAGGTATTGCCGGCTTGATATCTCCCGGTGCCATCCACAAAATTGCCCTGGGAGTCAAGCTCCAGGCTACCGAAAATATCCTCAGGGTAGGCAACGCGGCCAAAGTCGGGCGGATATCTTTGATCACTGACGTGGATGTATCCGCCCCTCCCAGCGCCGCCCATTCCACCTTGGGCACTGGCCCCACCAGCTCCATCTCCGCCAGTACCTCCGCCTCCTCCATACTCTTTCGTTTTCGTCTTGCGTCGCTGACGCTGCTGTGAGGGATGGTTGGCGGGGAAGAAGGTGCCCCCACTTCCCAGCGAACTTCCCGCTGAGGACGCGTACATGGCAGCTTGAGCTTGAACATCGGGATCGTTGGCTGCGTTGTCCTTTATGACCCAGTGCAAGATCTGCAGAAACTCGGGATTCTCCTGGAGGGAGTTCGCGGTCGGCGGCACTTGAGTCGTGGTGCCGATGGCGAGAGATGCAATCGGTGGCTCATTGGGAAGATACGAAAGGAGATACTGTTTGGTGGACGAGTTGGGCACATTGTGAACGTACTGTGCAAGTCAGCTGTTGTTAGTACTACGTCGAGCTCTATGTATGCATACGATATGCTCATTGTTTGGGAGAGTCGACAGAGCTCTTCTCAACGCGAAGGGGCTGGGCCTGGCGATCTGACGCAGACTCTGGAACGACAAGGCGGGTCGCGTTACTGTAAAGAGTGTCGCCATGGTCGATGCTAGGTTCTGCAATGTGATGAACGAGAACAGGAACTAAATATTGAACGTTCGGCCAATGGCATATTTTGCGTGTATGCTGACGTCGATGACCAGGGGATAGGAAGGAGCTCTGGCCATCACCGGCGCCAGCTCCGTTCGTGCTTAGACTACCTTTCGAGCGCCTCCATCGACTTCGACCACCAAAACAGAACTTGCAGGACGTTTTGTTGAATCAGAAGCCGATCTGACCTGAAAGCTATGCTCAGCACTGAGGCGCCGTCGCTAAGCTTATGCATGTGAACGAGACGTCTTGTTCCCAGAAGTCACTTGATCCCTCCTGGCTCGAAGTCCTGAAATAGAATCGAGATCCCCGGAAGAAATCAAGAATTATGCAAGCTGCGAGGTGAGATCTTTCTTGAGGCTCAGACAGAGACTCAGAACATAGCATGAGAATGCATTGCACGAGTCGAGCGGCCTACTCTGTGATGGGGCTCTGAGGAAGCAAAGGATTTCTCTCCATTTCAAGGCTCAGCAGCTGAGCTCCGGCTGGAGGATGCGCAGCTGACCAGCAGCATACTATTTGTTCGCCGCACTTTCTTGATCACCGGTAGGTGCGAATAAGCAACCCTACTCACTCCGACTACGCAAACGATGCACGACGGAGGTGGCGGCTCTGGTGGCGGCGACGCCGGTGCCCATTCGCACGGAGACACTTGGCACTCTCACATCGACTCGGGCCATCACCATCATGACCTCGTTACGCACGGGCACAACCACCACGGCCACCAAGAACACCACCATGATCACCACAACGAGCACCATCGCCATCACCAACACCATCGACATGACGAGGATTCAGAAAACCCCATCCACGGTATCCATCCACCGCCATACACAAGTGGCCCGTACATATATGGAACAGTACCACCCACCGAACAACAAACACAGCGAGTAACTTGCTCGTGTCCCCGATGCCATCGCAACTCCCCGGTCTCCCAAGCTCTATCAATACTGGTCTTTTGCACAATCGCAATCACGATGATAATATGCATGATGCTCATGTCAACAGAGCTAGGGCACGATTGTCATTGGTGCCAATAAAGATTTTCGTTTATCTGGACGCTACATCTAGTAGTACAAAACATCCCAATGGTCACCCTCATCCTATCGAAAACGTCAGTACAAGTTCCAAGGCAAGATGAACAACGAATGGACTTACGCAATAAATATTGCCGGAAGCAGCCCTCCACTGAGGATATCCATCTCCACGGTTTCCGATCCTCTCGAACCTCGTCGTGATATAGTTGTTCAGCGCGGTATTCTTGCGGAAATCAAGCTTGTAGCCATTTCCGTGGCTATAAGTGCCGCCAGCATGGCCTGTTTCAGTGCCGCCCGTGATAATCAGCGAGCACCCGCAAGCTCCCTTGAGTGTGATGGCGCCGTCGACGGTGCCGGAGAGGAGACCGTCGTAGGATGTGCAGCGTGGGTTGCTCTTGGTTGTGCAGCCGCCTGATGAAGAGGAGGTGATTCCAGCTCCGCTCAAACGACTTGCAGCTTCCGACTGTGAAAGCGGTGTTCCGCTGCGCTTCTCTTCAGCTGGAGCGGCGGTGGCTGCGAGCGCGAAGGCTGCGAGAGATGTGGCAATGGTGGAGAACTACTATATGTCAGAAGTCGGGCAACGTTGCTTTAGACTGAATGTACACCAACCTTCATGATTGCGAGTTGCAGATTGATTTCAAACTGTAGGATAATGCACTGGAGTTGCGATACCCTCTCACCCTCTCTCCAACACCTCTTTAAATACACCTCCCACCTCGACGATCGCAACACAACCACAACCTCTCATTCCTAGCACGAGGACCAAAAGCCGCACGTTTCAGGAAGGTAGCACCTCTTAGAGACGCTATTCTAGAAGATTGCGAAACCAATGCAGGATCTCGCCTACGATGTCTGTCTATAGGACAGCCAAGAGCCGATCACTTGTCGATCACCCAGGGCAGATCAGCATGCCAAGAGCCCGGCTTCGACAACTCGCAAGGCGAAGTGCTTACCATGCCGTGCCATGCTTGACGAATTGAAGCGTCTGCAAGGAAAGTGCTTCACGGGCTTTGTTCTTGGTGGTGTGTCGTGCAGCATGGCGGATGGCTAGGCTGGATCTGGTTTAGGACGCGTTTGGGTTACAGAATGGAGGGACACACCTTCGGTTTTGGGAGTTGATCAGTGACACGTGAAGTGAGCATTCGTCTTTCTGCGGCACGTTGCATCTCTTCAGCCGGTTCCCTGATTCATCGCCTGTTTCTCTGCCTTTTCTTGCGCTTTCCTGCCACTGGCGGTCAAGATCTGGTGAGTGGGGAATCGTTCGAGCAATGGAGTAGACCCTGTGAAGGCCTGTTTCTCCAGGGTTCATACCAATACGCAGCCAACAAGTGCGGAAATGGGCCGAAACTAGAACATTTTGGTCAACAGAGAGCACCTTCTCGTAATGCATCGCTCTGGATTCCGGGACATCCAAGGGCTAATGAGGGTAAAGATAGAGCGGATCGAGAATCAAAAGATGTTTCGGGAGGGCCAATCCATAATTTGTCTCTCTGGGATGATGAGCATCTAACAGCCAACGAGGGGAATCATCCTGGTGAAATGAGAATTATTGAATCTCAGAGGAGACTGATACCGCTCCAATTCTCCGGGCTTCGGAACGATTCAGAGCCAAGAGGGGTGAAGCAGCTGGCGAAACAATTTTGACAACCAGGAGATCTGGGACAAGTCCAACTGCTGTATGAAGTTCCTCTCTGCTTTCTTCGAAGGATTTGAAGGAGTTATGGGACTGGATTTCTACCCATTGCGCATAAATCGAAAAACGATCACTGGCAACGCCTCAGAGCAGATAAAGAAGAAGTGAACATAGACCTTTCTCATCTCGCCAATCGTTTGGGAGATTATGGCGAGGTTTGCCTAGGACCTCTAGAACAGGTCTCACGCTTGCGTCGGCTTCCTCTTTAGCAGCCATACCTTCGCGCGATGCCGAGATGCTCATGTTGAACGCGTGGAGCTCACTCTCGGACGCGTTCCCGTCTTCAAGGGGCTCAGTCACTGCTTCCTCGAGACGTCGCGTGATGATAAAGGAATGCAAGTGATGACCTTGCGAAGAATGGCCCAGAATGGCGAAACATGGACCGGTGATGGGAATTGGCTGATGTTACGATATGGCAGGCACAGCCGCCACATACGGGTGTGAGAAGCGAGGAACAACCGGGTAATCATCGTAACCGCGGATAACTCTGAATGCAACTACCTCAGTGTGCAACCGCAAGTCGCCAAACCAATCAGCAAAGCTTTTCATGGATCGAGAGCCAATCTGTTTAGGCGCTTGCACTCAGAGGCAGTTGCATCTAGAGGTACCCACGGTTATCCAATGAATCTGGACAACTCAGCGCAGCTTTCCAGTCAAAGCCTACTTCATAACCATATTTTCCGGATGCATATTACTTGGTTGGAAATCCGCTGTCCTCCACGGCACTTCGATTGCGTTCTTCATGTACGTCAACCACCTAGCTCGAATGTCCATTGGCATTCTGCCACGATGAAGTCAGTCGACCATCCTCTCGTGCACTGAACCAAACGTGACATTCGATTACGATGGCGGATTAGGTACTGCATGTGCTGCAGGCAAGAGAATCGAATCTCAAGACTCCGTATCATCGCCAGGAGCACCAGATTCCTCAAATAAGAGCTCATCGTCAGGACTCATAACAGCTCCAGCAGCAGCCACGCCCTCCTCATACGCTGCGGCCTCTGGATCATTGGACAGCCCGAGTTGTCTCACGCCATCACTCAAAGCATTCGTTGCTTCTTGACGTGCCCGCAGCTGCTTCTCGAGTCGAGAGATCCTGATATTTTGGCCATGCGGTGCTTCCCAGATGTGCTCATCGCCGCCTTTCCAGGCACCGTTACGCTTGCAGAAAGCCATGAAAGCTGCCCAGTTCGGATCCTGGTCCAAGACATCCGGGTTCCCGATGACGATCATAGCTTGCTTCGCGCGTGTGAGAGCTACGTTGAATCGTTTTGGTTCGTGGATCACTCCTAAGCCTCGAGCGATGTCTTGGTCTAGGAAGCGGTTGCGAGTGCGCGTGGTACAGATGATGACCACGCGAAATTCAAGGCCTTGGAAAGCCTGGTATGCGCGTCAGCAAGTATCACTCAAACTCGAGTACATGCCTCAGCCAGGAACGATTAAGGCTCCTGGCGCATGGTTTAGGGATTCACAGCTTACCTCAAGTGGTCCAACGTTGATAGCGGCCATAATGAATCCTTGAGCTCTTGCCTTAGCTCGAAGCAATTTGACCTGAGCGCTGAAGGGACTCATGATGCACACGTCCGCTGCCGAGACTCCCTGCTTCAGAAATGATCGAGCAAGATCAACTGCGATGTCTGCTTCACTGACATTATACCAGCCGCCTCCATCCCGCTCAATCTCATCCGATCCTCTGTGGTCATGGAACACAACTGGGATGTCGCGAGCCTCGAAGCCAGGCCAGTTGAGCAAGGCATCTGTATCTTCCGCTACCGGCTCAAGTGTATCGTGGTAGAAGAGAGCGGACGGAATCGCGAGTATCCCGGGATGAGACCGATAGTTGCGTATCAGGTCGACGAAAGGGGGCCTCAGGATCGGGAGCATATCGCTTGTGAGTCGCGGTATGTGGCCGCCTTCCTCCTTCGCACGTGCAAGAGGATGGTTGGAGTACAGACTTCGGCTCAGCAGGCCCTCGAAGAGCGATCTCCGCAAGGCAGATGTTTTGTTGGCTGTCCGCGGACCAAGCTGATTCTGATCGCCGACCAAAACAACCTGCGGCTCTCGCACAAAATTGCTTTGTGGAGAAGGCGGCGCCACGACGAGTAGAGGAATGAGAGTTTCAGGCTCCGTGGCTTGCGCGGCTTCGTCTATGATCAGTGTGTCCCAGTGAAGCAACAAGTTGGGACTTGCACTCCGAGGGTGATACGCGGAGTATATGCCAAGCTCATGGCTGAAGAGATCGGCATTAGTGAGTCGAGATCTCCTTAACAGCTCTGCATCGCGAGTTGTTGTCACCACGACTTGCTTCTGCATGAACTCAGCAAAGGGCGGCATCGCAAAGATGCGATCGTCAACGTAGCAGAATGGCAGGACCGCATTTGGCACCTCTGGGAAACTTCGAGCAACGGAGTTCAGGCGGAGTAACTCTTTTGGCGATAAACGAGAGCTCAAGCGTCGGACCAGGGTATCGGCGGCCGAATCGGATGGCGCGCATATGAGGAGATGCCTCGTTTCGTCCTGGTCAGTAGCATCAGCATCGTCTGGGCAGGAGATTGGGAGATGCCCTCACCTGCCCCAAGAGCTGTAGTGCAAGCTCGACAACCGTTTTGGTTTTACCAGTTCCGGGCGGTCCAGAGATGAGGTAAGGCACACGGCCATAGTCCTCGTACAAGACTGTGTTAATTGCTCGCATCTGCTCGTGATTCAACAAAGGGTCGATCAGGTCGAGATCGTAACGAGCAGCATTCAGGGTTCTCTGAAGCGTGCCATCTTTCGGCTCTGGGAATAGCATGCGTTGCAGCCATTCATTGCCACACTCCAGCTGTGTGCAGACCTCTAAAACAGCAGCCTGCAGGGCAGCATGGCGTGATGTCTGCATCGTGAAGCAAATGTTGAAGAATCGGCTTGCTGGGACAAAGTTATCGATCCTCAAATGGAGAGTCTCATTGAAGCGATCAACAAGCCAGACGACTGCATCGTAACAGATATCCAATCGGCCAGGTAAAAGCTCGCCTCTATTGTTCACAATACCTGAAGACGTAATAACGTTGCCACTCTGATCGTATCGGATCTGGCGCACATTGACGATGTCGCCCACCTCAATGGAAAGGAAGCTCTCGCGCAGGCCTGGAACGAGAAGTCTGTGTGTGGAAAATGAAACATCTTCAGGCTGTTGAGTATCAGCAGCGCCCTTCTCCAGTTCCCGGACAGCACGGGACGTGGAACAGTCCCGATGAATGAATTACATTTTGCCAGAGAGGTACTTGGTAAAGCGCGTACCTCTCGCAGTCTTTCAGCTGCGCGTCTATCTCTCGTTGTAGAGCTGCTCTGAAGAATTGGTCATAGTTGTGCTGCTCTAGTGTTGCCGGCTCGTCTATTGGTGGTGAAAGCACCAGAGTCGGTGCTGGACGGGCGTTGAAGAACGGTCCAGCAAACGCCGCAACGTAGGCATCGAAGTTGATCCACGGCGCTGGTCTGCACGCAACGCGATGTGCTGGAGCTTCGTTGACCTGTTTCAATGCGAGCGGAATGTAAGGCTCTGCGTACACGTCAAGGTGCGAGGCAGGCTGAGATGCGCTGCTGTTGTCTGGCATTATTCGAGGAGGTGCATCTTGCTCTTGTGATGACTCGTGTTGAATGAAAGAGAGCTGAGAGAGGCTGCTGTAATGCTGTACCGTGTAATGAAGTCTATGGTCAGTGGAATAAGTCAAGTCTAGATGCTGTTTGTGTTGAAGTCCAGGCGTTGGTCGTCACGAACGTGTTCGCGTAGCACAAGAACTAAACAGCACTAACGCAGGGCTTCCGATGCCGGAGCAGGCCGAGCTTGGACATTTTGTTTGGTCGAGCGAGCCAAAAGTTGTGCTGGCCACTGGTATTTCGAAATATTACTCACCGCAATAACAATCCCCTCTCCGCTCTTCATCTCCATCACAATGGCCTCCAAGAACGCGACCCGAGCTCTGCGCGCCTCGTTGAGGCAGCTCAAGGCGCCGCAGGTGCAGCAGCGTACCTTCATCACCGCCGTGCAGGGCAGCAAGCAGCAGGGCGTCCGCGCAGCCCAGCGAGCGGCCACATCTGCCATTGTGCACCAGAGCAGAGGCAAGAAGACCGTCGACTTCGCCGGAGACAAGGAGGTCGTCTACGGTATGCTGCACATCACTGTTGGGGAGGCATTGGGCATGCACTAACGCGCAATGCAGAGCGCGCCGACTGGCCCCGTGAGAAGCTCTTGGTACGTTTACGAGCTCCAATACACCTCAATGGCAGCTGGGAGCTCCCAATCTCGCCAGCACGAAGTCTAACAGCGCGGCGCAGGACTACTTCAAGAACGACACGCTCGCCCTCATCGGCTACGGTTCGCAAGGCCACGGCCAGGGTCTCAACCTCCGCGACAACGGCCTCAATGTCATCGTCGGTGTGAGAAAGAACGGCTCCAGCTGGAAAGAGGCGCAACAAGATGGCTGGGTTGAGGGCAAGAACCTCTTCGACATCGACGAGGCCATCTCGAGGGGTACCATCATCATGAACCTCCTCTCTGATGCCGCCCAGTCGGAGACGTGGCCACACATCAAGCCCCAGATCACCAAGGGCAAGGTACGTGCGGGAGAGGCTCCACCTCCGCGGCGAGAATACTGACTAGCTATAGACCCTCTACTTCTCTCACGGTTTCTCCCCAGTCTTCAAGGACCAGACCAAGGTGGAAGTGCCAAAGGACGTGGATGTCATCCTCGTTGCGCCAAAGGGCTCTGGCCGTACCGTTCGCACCCTCTTCCGTGAGGGCCGTGGTATCAACAGCTCCGTCGCTGTCTGGCAAGACGTGACCGGCAAGGCCGAGGAGAAGGCCATCGCCCTCGGTGTGGCTGTCGGCTCCGGCTACATGTACAAGACCACTTTCGAGAAGGAGGTCTACTCCGATCTCTACGGTGAGCGTGGTTGCTTGATGGGTGGTATCCACGGCATGTTCCTCGCCCAGTACGAGATCCTCCGCGAGAACGGCCACTCCCCCTCTGAAGCCTTCAACGAGACCGTCGAGGAGGCCACTCAATCCCTCTACCCTCTGATCGGCGCCAACGGCATGGACTACATGTACGAGGCTTGCTCCACCACCGCTCGTCGTGGTGCCATTGACTGGAGCAAGCGCTTCAAGGATGCCCTCAAGCCCGTCTTCGCCGACCTCTACGACTCCGTCAAGACCGGCAAGGAGACCCAGCGCACCATGGAGTACGCCGGTCGTCCAGACTACCGCCAAGCATTCGAGAAGGAGATGGAGGAGATCCGCAACCTCGAGATCTGGAGAGCCGGCAAGGCTGTCCGCAGCTTGCGCCCAGAGAACCAGTAGAAAGAGATGGCATGTATATCAACGTGGTGTGTGCACAACAGTTTTTTTGATGTCATTTGCAACCTTTTTGTCCTTGGGGAGTTGTTGTCTGTGTAGGTGGAAAGGCATCTGGATCGGTTCTCTCGAAAAGCACGGCTGTAATCTAGAATGTCCCACCACCGCGAAGCTGTTGTACTTCTTATTAGAAAGACTTGTGTATGTGGGTGACAAGGTGCAATGGGAGAAACTCGATGTCTGCAATTCCATAAACTGTGACAGTACTTTTCTGGCGCCATAAACAGTACGATGTAGCTGCACCGCGCTTGTTTCACCCAGTAAGCGCGCCCACATCAATTCGCTTAGACTTACCTTTCAAGCTTACAAGCCGAGAGGGGAAAAGGGAAGAAAAAAAAAAAGAAACAAAGGAAGAAACGGGTCATCTCTTGCTTATTACATGAGAAGTGGTGGCAGGATTTCCATCGCAGTGCATAACTTTGGCTCGCATGTCGGCCGGGTGAAAAGTTAGCGGCATACGCACGCAAACCGTGATCCGAATAACAACCACTAGGCTACTTATAGTAGTCTCAGAGTTCAAAGGGATCGACGACAAGGTCAAAGCCCTAAAAGACTCGTGACTTCTAGTACATGCGCCGCATGACTCGTTTCCCTTTTTTTTTTTTTGTGTCCCCCAATTCTTTTCTTCTCTTCGTTCACATGCGTGCAGATGACGGATGATGCGCACATACTGTGGTTCTGCTCGCGGCTTGCAATTCCCGTTAGGGAAGACATGCAGTCAGTTGAGTGATGAACAGTACAAGTGCTCTTGTGAGCATAGCGCGTCAAAAGCGGCGCGCGATCCGAGAGACTGTTTCTTGACGGCGGCGATAGAGGTGGAGTTGGAAAAGTATTGGCATCCTGCGGACCCGCTTTCGATGTGCGCCTCGCGAGCCGATGGTTCCCAGCTGCAGGCGCCACGTCCGAGAGTCTAAGTTGTTTTGGGAGAGTCGTATAGCACTGACTTAATTTGTTGAAATCCAAAGCTCTGCTGGCATGCTGCAGGCTGCTGCAGCGATGTCCGGAAGCGCAGCCGAAGAGCTGACGAGTGCATGTTCACTCCGCCCAGACTATTGGTGAATTGCGAGAGCTGTGCACGTGTGGAACGCCGTCGTGTGCCGAGCTGTCGTCAAGTTGCTGTCCAGAGTTCTGGTGCCAGTTTGAGCCTTTTGTGCCCCGCTGCTATTGAGTCGTGGCCGTCAAACTCCATGTTGTGATGCGGACCATATAGTCATGGAGTCTGATACGGTTTCGAAGGATCCATACCAAACCCTGGGGTGTTCGAGTTGACGGAGCCTGTGCTCTCTTCAGAGCTCAGACTGGGCTTGGGCCCAATTAGCGGCGGAGTATTTGTGGAGTGATGTGGCGCCGTTTGGTGACGAGCCTGGTGTGGACTCGGTTCCAGTGTCGAGAGCATGTGAGGTGCTCCGGCTTGCTGGTAGTCCGGGATGGAGGAGCTCCTACTCTCCTCGGAGCTCATGGAGTGGCTGTGGGCCAGGTGGGCGTGATTGGGATGAGCGTGCGCGGGACCATTGACGCCCGGGCGCGATGACACTTCCAAGATGGCTTGGATAGGAGGCAGTCGGTGGTCGATGGCATTGCCTGGCGGGGGTCCAGGAGGCAAGTGCTGTTGCATGTTGGGCTGGATTCCATATGCGCCATCACGCACTTGCCGCAGAAGTAGGAAGATGTCGTCGTATGAGCTCGTCCTAATGCGTTGGAAAATGTCCAGGGCCTCAGCTTCTGGTCGGGTCTGCACGAAGGCGAGCAACTCGCGGATGTGATCTCGTTCTTGCTCGAGCAGCTGATTTCGGCGCCGAAGGGCGGACCAGCGACTCTCGCCTTCTTCTGCTTCGTATTGACACTCGGTGCGAAGATTCTGGCATCTCGAGCAAGATGGCCTGCAGGTTGATGTGAGCATGTGACGGGCACGATCCGAGGGCGGCATCATGTTCTTACCTTAGACCGTCGCACTGAGATGGGTTAGTGGATCAGTGGTTGGGGCAAGAACGAGAGGGCGGCGGGCGAGCGACCTACTCGAGATTTTCTGCGCCTGCAAGCAGAGCACGCGCTTTCGATGAGGGTGCGCTTGGGACGGCCGCTCGGGGGTCTCGTCGGTCCAGGAGCGCTGGAGTTGTTGGAGTTGCTGGCGCCATCCTTGGAGGCATCGCCGGACGAGGTGCGAGCTGCAAGCAGCGGGCGAGAATGTCCTGGTTGGGACATTCAGGATGGTAGCCGACAGGCGCTTACCATGTGGGAGTCTTTTTTGTCGTCTGCTGAAGGTGTACGGAAGCGCCTGGTGAGTTGAAGTGTCAAGGCACGTTCCGGACAAGCAGCCGAGAAGGTGGTGAAAGGGCCTTCTTTTCCGCGTTGCTCGAGTCCCTACTTTGGCTGTTATTGGATCGCCGATTCATCGTGTCCGCTGAGATGGAACGCCACAGACCGCCGTGCACAGATGGAGAGCAGCACGCAGGCTCGGTAGTTAGTGGTTCGGTCGCTGCCGCTAGCCAGACGGCCACTCGCGGCCATGGATGGCAGATGACAGCACCGCTTGGGGGCGCATATAAAATAAGAAGTCATCATCTCGAGCTGGACGGGGCCGACGATGAGCACGACGGACGACTACAGCACAACAACACCTCGCCCGACTCTCTTCCCTACGCAGACCAACACGCGAGAGGGAGCCACGGTGGCTGGTGGAGGGCGTTTGCCCACTGCACCGCACTGCACGTCGGCGCCGAGCTGCTGCGATGGTACACGTCGTGGCTCGTCTACGCGGCGCTGCAGTGATGATGATTCCTGCTGCTGCTGCTAGTGCCGCTGCTTTTGGTGCTGCTGCTTTTGCTGTTCTGGGGCATCGCGTGATGCCGGCGCCGTGCCCCGCCGAGCTCTGCCCTACTGCTACTGCTCTGCTCTGCTCTGTACAACACCTTTTCGTGAGGCCAGCGTTGCCATTGAGACTGTTCTCGTCGCGCCCGCGCTGCCCGCCGGCACGCCCGCGCACT